TCCCTGGCATGGTGTTGCTGTGTGGTCTCTGGGTGCCCTTCCATTTGCTTTGCCTCTTAAGAAAACAAACTCCACCTGTATGCAGGGCAGGAAAAGCACACCTCAGGGGAATGCTGTAGGAGAAGCAATCTGTGCTAGGTCAGCCCACAGCCAGAGGTAAGCATCATGGAAATGTGCCCAGCAGGTATCTATAGACAGCTCCATCTCTAGAGGGCTGCCTGCCACCCAGGGCTTTCCCCTTTCAGGCCAGGGGCGGCGTCTAAGCCCACAATGACCACAAACTTCAGTTTAGTCACAAGGATTGCTTCACTACATTCTCTTGAGACACGGCACACACCGTCCTACATGGGAATGTGCCAGAGTCTTGGGCAACTCGTTAGGTGTGTGCTCACCTGGAGAACATGGCCCTGTGAGCTCTGGTGGAACACCTGAAGGAACAGTAGTCACCCTGCTTCTTGCAAAAGGATCTTCTCCACACTTTCAAAGCCAGGTGGCAGACAGAGGAAGAAGGCAGACTGGATAAAGGAGTCACAAAATGCTCTCATGGAGGGAGCATTAAGGTTGGAGTAGATTTCTACGATTGCCACGGTCATCATGGTCTGATGGTCAACCCACCCCCACCATGCCCACTGACCACGTCCCTCAGTGCCACATCTCCACGGCTCTTGAACACCTCTAGGGATGGTGATTCCAACACCTCCCTGGGCTGCCTGTGAGAGTGAATTTAAATGGCCGTGTTGAGATACCTGGCTGCTTTTCAGAGCAGCTGGGGCACCCCACTGCCCTATGGGCCAGGAGCACAGAAGAGGCCTCTTCCAGCATTATACTTCTGCCTGGTTCCCTGTGCTGAGCACAGTGTAACACAAGAGCCCCTGTGGTGTGGCAGCAAAATGTCTCATGGATGTGGGGAAGAGGCAGCCACCTGCTGAGTGGCCCCATTTTGCTCAGGGTCCCATCCTATCCCCCATTGCATCAAGTTACAGTGGGACCCTGATTTTAGGTGAGACTTCCCCATCTTTATTGTACATGCTGTCAGAGGGGTTAACTGTGGCTGCCAAATGCTGGACACAAGCCATGGAGGTGCCAAGGGAGGGTTTTGCGCACAGCACTGAGAAGAGCAGAGGACCCATGTTGCAGGCAACAGACCCATTGGGTCCCAGCTACCTGTTGAGTCACGAGAGGCGAGAACAGACTGCAGCCACAAACACGCCTCCATCCCTAACTCATAATTTCCACTGCAATTACTCAGGAAAACCACAAAAGAGAAAACAGCTTAGCATTTTACGATCGTGATAACATGATCGGCAGCGCACGCAAGGGCAGCAAGACCTTGTCCTCATGGAGAAAAGACCTGCAAAATCCCTGACAGCTCGCGCCAGCCACAGCCTCCTGCCATGGGCTGCTATCACCCATGGTGGCCTCGTGCCGATGTTCCTGGCTGTGCCCCAGCAGGATTGCTCAGAGCCCAGCCAGGAGGCCTTAGGCAGGGCAGGCAGAGCCTGGGAGCTCAGGCCAGCTCCAAAACCCCAGGTGTTCCCCACTGAGAAGGCAAAAAGGGTGCCTACACCTGCTACTGTTAACCCTTCGCTATCTGTGCAAGTGGAAATGGTGCAGAAGGGCTTGGCTGCCCATGTCTGCTTGATCACTATAAGAGCAGCCTGCATTTTTCTTCAGGATGGTGGTCTTACTCCATCCTGTGAATATGACGGTGATAAAAGAGGTGGGCTTTTCCACCTGAACCACCGTGTTCTTCTCCTGCAGTGAGGGTAAGGAGAGTGCAGAGCTGGCGGACTGAAGACTGCTTTGCTTTCCCAGGTGTGACAAGCACTAGCTACCCTCATGCATGGACTCACACAGTACCAGGTCAGCAATGAGGACAAGTGGTTTCCCTCCTCCTCCTCCCAGCCCCAAGCCCCCTCCCCTCTCCGTCCAGTGCTGCCATCTGTTTTCCTACGGATGGAAGGGGATGAGATGTTCCGCTGGCCCTTGAGAGGCAAACTGTCTCGGTGCTAACTTGTATTCCTGATGGGCTTTTGGAAGGGTTCACATCACTCCCTCTTTCCTTGAACTACGTGCCTCCACACGGAGGGGATGGGGAACTTGGCACAGAGCAGCGAGAGACAGGAGGCAGATGGATGGCCAGATTAATGGAAAGGGAAGGGAGGTGGGGAGAGGAGTGAGAGGGATGAGCAGGCAGGCTGGTCTGCTGCCAGCAGAGGAGAGAGATGAGCGAGAATCTCACTGATGCCATTACTCGGTGACTTGAAATTTCCAGCAAGAGGTTGGCGAGGTGGGGCTGGGTTGGTCAAAGCTGGGCTTGGCTGCTGCTTACTGTGCCTTAGCCTGAAGAGGACCCTGTGGGGAGGGACCGTGCCAGCAGCCAGGAGCGCTGCACTTCTCCTGAATAGGGCTGTACCCTGTATGAGGCGGCCAGATGAAAGCAATTCCTCATCCAGTGCACTCAGTAAGAGACAACAGCATCTCCAAAGGGTGACTCAGAGGGGACCTGGAGAGGCCACTGGAATGGCGTGGAGAGCAGAGGCTGGGCTCCAAAAGAGATGCCTCCAGTGAGGGATTACTGTTAGATAGGGAGGAATCTGGGCCTAAGACATCCCACACAGCTAGCAAGTCGAGCTGAAACACACCAAACCCAGGAGGAGCTCCAAAAGCAGAAGATTCCTTGAGCAGGCAGATGAAGAAGATAAGGGAATGAGCAGGGGATGTCATGCAGCAAGGCCAGGTTATGGGTTGTATTCCATCCATACCCTACTCTCACTGCTTGGCATCTCCACAGCCCACAAGAGATCGGCCCCCAAGTGAAATGGCCTGCAAGATCACCCAGGGAGATGCAGGCAGGAGAGGAAGGGGAGTAGGGAGTGAGAGTGCAAGAGAGCACAGATGTGATGGCAATCAAGTTTGGGGCACTTCCTTTGGTCAGAGAAGTGGACTGGTAACACTTCTCATCTTCCCAGTGCCTAGCAGCCCTCTGAGCAATACCTTCAGGGAAGAGTTGTGGCAATATAATGTCTACTATAAAGCATGTATTAGAAGATTGGCTAATCAGTCCAACAAAAAGAGTAATCAAAGACATGAGAAAAGAGGAGGAGAGCAGGGAGGAGGTGGCTGTGAGCTGTTTCTGAAAGGAAAGCATCAGGGCAAAGAAAACAGCCCGAAGGATGAATCTTCATTAGTATTGCAGTGAGTGACTGTGACCTTAAAAACAGGCCTGGCTGATGAAATTGCTAACAAAGAGGAAGGCATTGTTCCACAGAGCAGGATCAGGATATCTGACAAAGAGATGACCTCAGGACTAGGGAAAGAAACAGGATGACATTCACTTGTGTAAAATTGAAGGGCAAGCTCTTGTGCTGATAGTAAAACATCTGCTGTTAGCTTGGAGCTCATCAGTTGGAAACAAAGGATGCAGAGAAAGATCTGGGTGTACTTGCTGACCTCAGGTCTCTCTGAGCTGCCAGACTGATGCAACTGCAGAAATGACAGATATGTTCCTGGGTCTTATCAAAAGAGATTTACACATAGGCTTTGTGCAGGGATTTGGTGAGACTGCATCTGGGAGAGCGTGTACTGCTCGGTCATTTCTACAGGAAATTGAAAGCAGAAAAGGTGTAGAAAAGGATATGATAGTAATGACAAGAGTAGACTACCTGCTTTTAGGGCACTGCATCCAGGAGCAGAAAGAGTTGGTGTTGACCATGAGCATGCTTAGGTGGCTAATGAGAAGACAGAGAGCACTGCTATGAGACACTGGGATTTTAGAGTCAGTGCCTCTCTCTCTCACACACAAACAAGCCAGCATTTTTCCATCATCCCTTATGGGATCTCACACTCAAGATGCAGACCCAAGGTGAGCCACAAAACCTTCCTGCTTCAAATATACTGCCCTGGAGCTGAGCTTTAGGAGGCATGGAGCTCCCAAGGCACTGGATCCACCATTGAGCTCTGGTACTCAACCATCCAACTCCTTTCTAACACACAGCAACCTATTACCATACAGATTATAGGAGTGAGACGCAAGCCACCAGGTTTGGTAGATAACTGCTGCACATCCTGCCAAGCACATTTCCTCCCTGGGGACATGTCCACCGCAGCATCGAGGCCACACGGTCACACACGGTCACACGTACTGCCCTTTATTCCACGCTTCAGCTGACAAAGAGCTGAGCTAGGCAGAACTAGTGAGCAAAACCCGATCATTTGCATTGAAATGAGTTCATTAAAAAAAAAAATCAGCAAAACCCAAAGCTATTTTTGGTGTGTAGACTTCATTTACATTTTCCTTTTTGGTAGAAATCCCAAATTTTCAGCAGACAACATTCCAAAATTCCCTCTTCACCCTCCGCCCTCCCCCTTTTATTTTTTTTTACCCTCAATCATAATAACAAATCGTGCTCGACAAAGACTGCCTATTTTTCATTTCCTCTGTGAACCGACTCCAGGCTGCCTATGATTTTCTCTTGCCGGGTAATTATTCAAAACCAAATGAGTGGCTAACCAATTTCTGCAAGGAATTCTTTGTCTGCAGATTCTTGGGGAGCGGTTTGTTTTGCACACACGACGCTGGAAATCCTCCTTGTTTTGGTTGGACGCGTGAGTCACACAGGGCTTTTCTGGACCAGTATTACTCTAGAACTGCAGTTCTGGTTAAGGAAATATTCAGGCTTGGAGTCAGCACGCGCTTTTTGGGGATACCCCTTGCCAGTGAAATCCTTTTGCTAGAATTTTCTTCCCGGGTTGGCCGAGAGGAGTGCAAGGAAGGAAACGCGGCTCGAAGCCCTGGACCCATTCTGTGGCCACGCAGCGCGTTGCAGCTCACCCCCAGCATTGCCCCAGCCACACGCTCCGAATGAATGCCAAAACACTGAAACACCAGCAGACCTTTTCCATGCCAACCCATCACAGACCTCATGTGGTCATAAAGACCCCACGTCCGCACTACCGCAGGGCTGGAGCTGTCCCATGTGCTGGGAAAGGGAGCTTACCTCACACGACTGGATGCAGTGGATGGCAGAGGGGTCTGGGTACCATTGCAGCCTGCCCGTGCATACGATGTGCTGCGGAGGAGTGAGAAAAGAGTCGTTAGGGAGATGGTGGAGGGAGGACACAAGCACGCTCCCTGAGGTGTAGGGTCTCTTGTGGAACTCCACAAGGCAGAGCAATGCAATCAGTCCTAGGACCTTCCTGCATCTCTGCCCAGAGGAAACCTTTTGGAATTTACTGAGCCCAAGCTTCGCCCACAAACTAGACAACACTGCTCAAAGCAGAGCCTGGATAAGAGATAGATGCATGTGTTATGTATACATATGAACTCCCAGAAGAGGAAAAGGAGAGATATCACCAAGGCAAGTATCACCAGGATCTGGATTTGGCTGGCAGCACTACACATGGTAGGCAGCAGCCAAGCTGGGAAGTAGCCATCCAGGACCACCACAGATGGGGTCCTCCATTCATCTCAACACACTGTGCTGCGTTTAGCAGCTTCCCACTTGCACCAGCCTCATGTCCCAGCCAGCTGTCCCTGGACACCAGCATCAATGCACCCTGTACAGCTCCAAGAGCTGTGTCCACAAGGGAGACACCTGGAAACTCAACTCCCTGGACTTGGCTGGTCTGGATACACCAGCTTCACGCTCACCCATGCCGCAGAGGTATTTATGAGGTTTTAAGTCAGCAGCTGCAGCCAACTGGACATGAGAACTGAATGCAGAGGACTGAGTTTCATCTAACTGGAACACATCGTCCCCATAATTCAGAAGGGGGCTGTTGGGAGCACGCATGATTATATGGGGGAAAAAAAGCCCCACCACACAGGCAATTTCCTCCTTGTAAAGCTCAAGCAGGCTTTGAAATCTGAGGCCCCATAAAACGACGGCTGGCCTATGAAAGTGTCCTAGGATGCCCTGCACAGCATGGCTGTTACATGGATGGACATGTCTTTCTTCCACCAACGTGGCTTCAGGCCTCTCAGCATGGGATGAGGCAGCTCTGCCTCAATCTGCTTTCATGGGGTGCTTTACTCCTGGGTTTGTACGTGATGGGAGGGATGAGGGAGCTGCAGGCTGGCTGGTGACATCTCTATCCGCTTCCCATGTACTCCAGGGTAGTGACTGGTGGCCAGAGAGCAGGGTGGTAGTAGCACCCTTGCAAGTGGCAGCAGACAAATCCCTGTCTTTCTACTGTATTTTTCAGCTTCTTCTTGCTCCAAGTCTTCAGACCAAACCAACAGGTTGCCAAGAGCAAGCTCCAGAGGTAATGTCCTCAGCCAGAGTAGGGAAGGCAGCTGTGATGGGATGGGACAGAGAGAGTGGAGAGAGCAATTCCTGCTCACCCCAGAGGATGCTTGGATCCCAACCCCATTGGATGTGTTGTATGCGGTTGCTGTACAACTTGAATGAGTTCCCAGATCTTCTTGGCTGTGGGATGTGATGAATGAGAGCATAAAAAAAACCAGTGCCCTCCTCAGGCAGCCTCTGCAGCCCCAGTGTGCTTTGTCGCATCCTCCCCATCACCTTGGGAGTGTGGCAGCTCCTGGGAACACAAGCACAGCAGGAGGCAGAGAAGAAAGCAAGGCAGACCATGCACAGAGATGCTGCTAAGGGTAGTGCCAATGTTTAAATAACACAACTCTTCACTTCTCCGAAACGTTTCCCTTGCATGAGAACCTGTGGCCAAGTCACCCGGTGATCTGTCCAAGACTCAAGCTCCACAATCCCACACGCCACGGGCATCCTGCTGCTGCAAAAGCATGGAGACATGGAGTGGGGATGCTGCTGGGCCTCCTGCGGCTTCCTAGGGGGAGGGGAAGGCCTGGATAGGGGTGCCAGCTCCCAGAAGGGCTGTTTGTTTTCCTTTCTTCCACCTCCTTCCTTCTGCATCTCGGTTTTATTTTAAGAAATATTACCCCGTTGGAGCTGCATTTTGGGAAAGTGGTGCCACGGAGATCCAAACTATGTGAGCTATTTGAGCTGTTTTGCCTAAAGAATGAGTAAGGGATGGGGAGGGAGAGGCGAGGGGGTGGCCAGCGGTCCTGGCAGCAGAGCCAGCTCCCAGCTGATGGCTATGCCTCCTCCCTGGCAGGGACACGCTGCCCAGGGCTGTACTGCAGCTGCCAGGTGTTCAGGGACCAGGGCTTCTGCTTTGCCCTCTGCCAGGAATGAATTCTGATCTGTGCTCTGTCATCCCAATACCTTGGCTGCCAATCGCGTGTGGCACACCCCAAAAGTCAGGAGGATTCCTGTGTTTAGCTTCATTCACAGAGGTATCCTGCAAGTCCTGGAAAGCTCACATTACAGCCAGTAGCTTACACCGAGCTTTGGTCTCAGAGGGCAGGAGGCTGTGCAGTCGCATCCTCAGTGTGTGGAAGAGGAGGAAAAAATACTGAGGACCTGGGCACTGGTTGTGAACCAGAAGAATCAGCCTGAAGCCTCATGGCATCAGATGAAGCAGGCAAGGTGCAGAGAGACCGGGCATGGCCTCTGCTAGCCTGGGTGAAGCAGGTTCAAGATGTATCTGGGAAGATGAATGTGGTCACTACAGAGACCTCCACCAGGGCTAACCAAAGCCTAGGAAAAGGGGAACTTGAATATCTACATGCATCCATCACCCCCTGCTACACCAGCACCACAGAGATATATCCAGAAAGGGTCCAGATGGACAAAGAGCAGTGTTACGGAAGAGATCTCTATGCTGTGGGTAACATTCACAAGGATCAAAGGTCACTGATGAAGGACTTGCCACTATGTCTAAACCCAGCAACTGCACATCTAGAATCATTAAGGTTGGAAAAGTCCTCTAAGATCACCACGCCCAAGCCCAACTCAACCCACCATGCCCACTGACCACGTCCCTTGGTGCTACATCTCCATCTTTCTTGAATGCCTCCAGAGATGGTGACTCCACCACCTCCCTGGGCAGCCCGTTTCAATGCCTTACACCTGCATATGCAACAGCATGCATCCTGCTGGAGCTCATCCCAGGCTTCAGGTGGACATCAGGGCATAGGTGGCCAGGATGAGCAACCAGCAGGCATCTCCTGAGCATGCACTCAAGGAGAAAACCAGCCATCTCTGAGCTCTTCATCCAAATTACTGCCCCTCTTTCTACCGAAAGCAAAGAGATTTGTATTAAAAAACACTGGATAGAGAGGAGGGAAGACTGATTTGGCCACACTGTAAATATTTTGAGGGTCCCCACATGTATGGATGGTGAATGCTCTGTTGGAGCAATGCTCCCTCCTCGCATACCTGGACTCTAGTGGGTTGCAGGCGGTGATCCATAGTCTCAGCAGTAACGTTTTCAGGCAGTATGACTGGATCGCTGGGAGGGATAATGCAGGAAGGCACACACACAGCACCTGAGGAAGGAGAGAGAGCCTTGAGGGATTGCAGCAGGAACCAGGCAACTGGCTGCTGTGGAACAGTGTCGGATGCCAATGTGCCTGCTCCTCACTGAGGGCAGAGATGCATGTGAAGGAGATCCCTTGCCTACCAACAGCTGAAAATTTCTTCCCCCAGCCCTGACTTATGCGAGAGTTTACAGAAGCTTTTTGCAGCTGATACCTTTCTCCTGAATGAGGTAACAAGTAAACATGTCTGAAGAGGTGAACCCAAGCCGTGATGGCAAGATGTAGGACCCAACATGAAAACGTGTCTGGCCTAGATATTATGGCTGCTTGTTGATGTGTCAGAAAGTACTTCTAACAATTCTTCTACCATGACTTCCTATGACCTGAGATGAAAAAAAGCTGTAAAACTCCCACTTGGCAAAGCAGGTGGGTCCCAACCTCAGTCCCAGCTTCACATCAGGTCTTTCCCAAGTTTACCCTTGGCTCAGCCAGTTTTGGGTTTTAAACTAATGTCCCATCCAGTGTGATGCCAGGTGGGATGTAATGACTGTGACAGCATTGCAGCTGAAAAACAACCAACTCTTTTAGAAAGAAATGGATGATGTGGTCCCTCGTCTGGTGAAAGCGCCCTGTTACACAGTTGTCACTCCAGCTCTTATCTCGGACCTGCCCCATTAACCCTGCAGATGTCAGCAGTCACATTAAGTGCAGAGGCAGTGGTGAGGCTGAGAGTTGGAGGGTGAGATAAAGCACTGCAGAGGGCTGGGCTTGCCCTACAGATGAGTCAGTCCTTGCTTCTGAATAAGTGCTTAAGCCAATGCCAATTCTAACTTACCAGGAGATGCACAGGGCAAAAGCCACCCTAGTGCTCTGTGTTCAAGAGGAAATTGAAGAAAAAACAAATTTTTCATAAATTTAATGGGAATTGGCCCAAGTAGAAGAGTCACCGTGACCTTCCAGCTGGCTCTTCAGGACGGCTGACTCAACACAGAGTCTGGGTTTCTGCAGAGTGTTCTGTCCTCACCTATGCCGTGCCCCTGTTCACACTTGTACTCCACGAGGTTGAGCTCTGGGGGCGGTGGGCAGGTGCCCTGCAGGCTCTTGCACAGCTTGAACTCCTCTGTCCACGTGCCCTCCTTGGTGCAGACAATAGGGACCTGGAGAGCAGAGAGAGACCAGGGTCTGGAGACAATCTAAGCCGGGGTGTGTGCCGTGCTGTGAATGGTGCCCACACCACCACAGTCATCTCCAGAAGTGAGAAGAGCTCTGGTTTTGCTTTTATGGGTACCCAAATGCCCAACATGCCGAGCCCTGGTATTTTCTGAAGTCCAACGTGTGGCTGACCCCCATCTGTCCCATCACTCACCTGTGATCCTGGCGGCTCACAGCTCAGGACACACTGGCTGTCAAGCTCAAAGCCCTGGGTGCAGTTGTACATGCCCTCAAACACTGGCGGGGGTGGCTCGCACACCACAGGGATGCAGCGTCCCTCCTCCCACTGCCCACTCTCCAGGCACTGCACCTTCAGGAACTTCCTGGGGAAAGAGGTGGAAAGAAAGCTGGGCTGCAGACTCCAGAAAGCATCCTTCTTGGTTCTGAAACCCCCATGCATGGGGCTTTCCATGCATCTCTAGGATAACCTATGTTCAACCAGGACCTTTCCTTCTGCTTGTGCTGATTTAGGAATCCTGGACGCTTCTCTCGCTGCCCACCACCCCGTCACACCGATTTAGTGGGCATGATGGCAGTGGGTTGGCAGTTGGACTAGATGATCTTAGTGATCTTTTTCAGCCTTAATGATTCTACGATTTGGGAGTCATGGGCACTTTTTCTCGTGCTTCCCACAGCACTGGTATTGGAGCCCCAGACACTTTTTCCTGTGCTCCCCATCACTCTCCATCCATTGTAGCACCTCCGGATGATCTCTCCCTGCCCGCAGCCCCCGCGGGTACGTGCACGGCTGCCTTGTCCAGCCGCCAGTAGCTGCATACTTTGCTGGAGGAGCGAGCCTCCCCTGTAAATCCTGCTGGCCCATGCCCAGCCCTGCTGAGGCTCCTCTTTGTACGCCGGCCAGAGCTGTCAATCCCACTCTCGTCGAGGAGCTGCTGCACCGGAGCAGACCAACACCAGCTTGCACTGCTGAAACGGCCCCAGCATGAACTGCTTGCCAAAAAGAGGATGAAAAAGAAGGGGAGAAAAAGGCCAGGAGCAGAGCCCACCCGCTTCTCTGTCTCTTCGCCTTGGCAGCGAGACAGACTTCACATCTTCTGCAGAGAAGCATGAAAACCCTGGGGCTTTGGACAAGCTGGGGACACATCATAGAATCACAGGGCATCCTGAGTCAGGAGGGACTGTAAGGATCATCGAGTCCAACTCCTTTGACCCAGTTACTGACACACGGCTTTTTACAATGCTGATGAGTTTTACCTGTGCTGATTTCTTGGTTCTTGTTTCATCTTTTTCCTTTCTGTAGCATCACTCCCCACCAGACACCCATGTATCTGCTGCTTACCTCTGCTCACTCCAGCTGCTGAAGCCAGCAAGTAGGGCTCCAGGAACCCAGCAGAGGGAATCTAACATCCAGTGCTGAGTTGCAGAAACCCCTCAGGGTGGCACTACATTGCCCTTGTTCTGAGCTGCTGCCTGGGGCCAACTGCGCCCCCACCATGCACCACAGCAGTTGGGACCGTGGCCATACCTTGCTGTCAGAGCGCAATGCAGTGGCCTTGGTGATGTCTCTATCAGGTCAATCCCCGCTTCTCATGTCCATGCATTCACCTGCTCTGCTTGCCCGGACACTCAGCCAACCCAGAAGGCTGAAGGACCATGTGCATATGGGGAGAAGTGACCCATGATCCTAGGCAGCACCATGCTGTGGACAAGTGTCTGCCTGACCCCAAGGCAGGCATGTATGTTTCTGCTAGGTGCTGCTGGACAGGGCATTTGGGAGCCTTTTCAAAACATTGCTGTGTTTTTAAATATCTGAAGCTCCTTGAGAATCCCCTTCTGCTTTCAGAAGTCAGAGACCTGATTTTTTCTACAGACTTTATAAAAGTGGCAGATGTTTCCTGCTTCCAGGAAGGAATGGGATATGGCAGGACACCCAGTTCAAGCGGGAGCGTTGAATTGACCAAAGAGAACTTGAAACTACATCCAATCTTGGAAGGATGGAGGGGAGAAACATCTCTAGATCTCACAGTGGACATCTGCAGCTTCAGCGCACTGCTGGTTTCTTGTTCATGCCTGTTGCCCCTTCCACCAGGATGATGCTCACTGCCTTTCAAAGACATCCCCATCAGATCTCGCTGCTTTGAACACTTTGCTCTGTCCAACACCTCAAGCAGCAGTTTCCCCTTCTGTCATTGCCTGGCACATGGAGTAAATCAGAGCAGAAAAGGGATTTCCTTGCACTGCTGCATTAACCGGAGGTTAAGATGATGGCTTTAAGGGAATAGGAGCAAAGCAGTGGTACAAAGCATCCAGCACCAATCAAGCCCTTTCTCAAAGCATCAGCACACCTGGACACCTGGGTATAACTGATGCAGCCACTGCATGCCACTGTTGCTCCTCCGACCTCCAGCAGAGGCCCTTTGGCATGGAGCTGGGGATGGCTGGGGAAAGGCACCTCATGGTCTTTGCAAAGATGCATGTCATACAGTGCAGCCCCATTGCCCTCACTGGGGTTCCCTGTTGAGGTCCAGGGTAACCTCATGCATGATCTCTCTCTGCCCCTCCACAGCCCATCCAGACCTGGACTGGAATCCCTCCTCACTGGAGGCTTATCCCACTGCCTCTGTGCCTTTAAACCCCAGGGCACGTGGACCACCGCTGCACATCAGGCATGTAGAAGGGAAGGGAGAGGCTTTAAAAAAATAAATAAATAAAATAAGAAATACCTTGAAGCAGCTTGAAGTTTCCAGGCCCCTGATTCCTTCTGATCTGGCTTAGAGGCATTTTGCAAGGATTAATGAGGAAGCCAGGAAAATCAGAGTCAACACTTCCCCCTCCAGCTGGGCAGCGTGTTGTCTGATGGGGAGAGGAGACCAGGAGACGCCTGGGGCTGCACCCAATGTGAAGGCACGAGCTCCATCCAGCCCCAGGGCTGTTGGAGCAGGAGCATGGCTGGGTTCCAGCCCCAGGCTGGGGTCCACCACACAGGAGAAGTGATGAATGAGCCCAAAGCCACCTCATCTCCAATGGCAGGAGTCTGATGGCTTCAGAAAAGAGGAGGAGGAAGGAGGGATATTTGATGAGAAGTTAAAAGAAAGCAAGGCTAGCTTGTAATGATTCTACAGCCTGGGCAACCTTGGCAGTAAATCTCTATCAGAAGTCTTAGAAGTGGAAATGACACGGAGCCCTGCTGACAGCCTGTTTTCTTTACCTGGCTTTTGGCTCTCCCGGCTGCCTGTGTGTTTGTCTTTTATCTGGAAGGGGCCAGATGTGGGCAGGAGAAGCGAGAGTCCTGCACCTTTGTACCCACCACAAATGTGCATGGCCCAGTGCCCTGCTAGGCTGTGATATCCCTGGGATGGACTGTGCTGCTTTGCACGCTGCCGTCCTTCTGATGCCATTCCAGCCCTCAGCCAGCTAATTCCTTCCAGGCCACCTTCCCATCCATGTTCCCCACCTCCTCTTTCTGCCTCATGGTCTCCACCAGCCTGCTGCTGTCTTTGAAGAGGGGCTGACGTCTCCAAGGGGCTGGGCTGTCTCGTGGATTCCTTGATCTTGGTGAAGGGCCATTTATTCCTCAGTGTCACCAGTGCATCTCCTGCCAGCTTCTCAGGGCTCATCCCAGGAATTGGTCATGGGGAGGAAGGGAGCAAGCAGGAATAGTAGACAAAAAGACCTAGTTTCTTTTTTGCTTAATTCCTTCAAGGTATCTCCGAGACCTTTCCAAGAATCATCCCATACTGGGGAAAGAAAATAAGGAGCTGAAGACATCTTTCCAGGGTTCAGGTTTTCCAGTTCCCAGCTCATTGTATTACCCCTGCAACACAGTACCCCTCCAAAAGGGTATGGGCAGGGGGCTTGGCCCCTGTGACAGAGGGGTTGGAACCTGATGATCATTGAGGTCCCTTGCAACCCAAGCCACTACATTTTTCTGTGAGCTTCAGCTCTTCATGTCAGCCAAGAGATCCTGACAGCAGAAAGGCAGCACATCTCTGGCAGGATTTTAATTACACAATCAGCATTCCCTTGGGGATCTCTTGTTGACTGAGCACTGATCTGTGAGGGGCTTTTCCTCACCCAAGTTAACAGAAAGAGCATCTTCTCTGAAAAAAAAATTTGTCATCCTCCTTCTCTTCCACTGATGCTATTGGATATGAACTTCAACTGAGCTTTCAGGAGACTTCTGAGCATTCTTGAATGAGTGCCTGCCCCTGCAATAATGTTCACCTAAAAGAACAGAGCTGAGGGAATCACATGAGCATCTGCATCCAAGAGCATTTGGGCTTGGGTAGAGACAGCCAGATTCCAGCCAGGGCTCAGGCCAGAGGGTGGTGGTCTTAGGGGCAAAGTTCCAGGGCTTGGACTGCAAATACAGACGTAGTAGCTGTGATGTTCTACACAACATTTGGGAGAAAGGCACTGCAGGAGGCTGATAAAAAAAGCAGCAGTCTTGCTTTCTTGTTCCCATCAGTGCAGCACTCAGTTCTTTACAAGGTCGGTACTTGCTTTACAGGATATTCTGACCTACACAGATGCCACACACACACCAGAAGAGCACAAGGTCTCCCAGGGGACGCATGATGTCTCCCTTTGCCACAGCAGTGGTGGCAGCAGGGCTGGGACTTTGTTGATCTAACTGCACATCCAGCGCCTGAATGCCACAGGCATCCAAGCTGCTCCAGTTTGCAAAGCAGCCCATGTGACTGTAGCCATGGTCGTAATTTGCTCTGCTCCTCTTGGCCCAAGAGATCCTCCTAACACTGTGAAAAACTGTTTACAGAAACCACTTCCTTCATTACCAGGCAAGAAATTTGGCAGCTGCTTCCCAGTGCACAACAACCCTACCCCAGAGCAAAGTAGAGCTGAAGTCTGCATCCAATTTAAACTGGAAGAGGGCATTAAACAATTAGCACATAATTATCAGATTGGGGCTAGCATTGGGATTCTGGGGAGGACCCTGATGGTGCCAGGGAATCTTTTGCGACCATACCCAAGGGGACTTTAGCTGGAGGTGTCACAGACAAAACATTGCTCAGCCCTCCAGCATCACAGTGTTGGTTGTGAATCTCCAGGATTTTTCCCCAAAGCACTCAGAAAATCTTCTCCAATTGAAATACAAACGCTCGAGATCAAATTTAGCCAAGACGTGCAAGGGATAAAACTTTAACCCCAACAGAGGGCTGTCATTTGTTCTTACAATCCTAGTGCTGTGACCTGTTTTGATCACTTGTCACCTTATCACATCCCTACTGAATTACCCAAGAGCCTGCAAACACTTCTGCACATGCTTACTTTTCAGCAAGAGGCAAGTGCATTGAGCTGCACTGGACAACTCACATGCTTCAGGTTAAGGCGCTTAATATACACAGCAGCTTATATGGAGTTCCCATCTGCTTTATTCTAAAGTGGGGGAACGCCTCTCTTATTTGAAGAACTAAGAATGAGAGCAAGCTGCTCTGCCTCATATCTCTTCCAGCAGCCGAAGCAGTGCTTTGATGGAGAAGAGTACCACGACCTGTCCTCTTTGTTCACGAGAAGGAAGAAGTGACAGCAGGCCCATCCCAGACTTACTTCTTAGGTTTGCCCACTGTGTTCTCCGCCACGTGGTACCCAGGCTTGCACTTGTAGCGGCAGACGGAGCCCACGTCGTGGTTGCCCTGCATGCAGCGTGGGACCAGGAGCCTGGCGTTGGGCACGGCAGGTGGAGCATCACACTCCAGCTTGCAATAGGCCTCGGGGAGCGACCAGAGCCCATCCTCCAGGCACGTCAGCCATTGGTTCATCCCTGAGCCCAGGAGAGAAGTAGAAAGTTTGGGTCACAGTTGGAGAACCTCTGAGGGAAGATCTGAGCCACCAGCACACATCCTCTTGTTAGAGTGGTAGTGACACCATGGGAGGCAATACATACAAAGAATACATGTGCAGTTGGACAGCTTCAAAGGGATGGAGAAATGTTTGGTTTGTAGAAATGCGTATTTCCCCCAAGCTCCCCCTTAAAAGCCCTCTCTCTGGTGATACCTGAGGAGAGCCTTTGGTGGGCTGAGGGCTTTCGTGCATGACAAAAACGCAAACATGGGCCCTTCCTCATGTTTAGTTCAGCTCAACTCCATTCACCCCATATGACCTGCCAGAGGAGCCCATGCCTGCATCCACCACGCGCTATGGATGCAGCTTCCTGCTGAGCAAGAAGAAAAGTAGAACTGAAGAACTGAGGCTTTCTCTTGGGAGCTTTGTATTGGGCCTTCAGCAGGTTCACTGTACAGCCAGGCAGCTCCTCCAAGCATCATTTTCTTTTTATAGGCTCACCTCTCTGCCTACAACAGCTCATAGACAAGAGCAAGGCTGTGCTCCTGCTCAGCGCCAGCATTCCTGACGGCTGTGGTGCATGGGCTGTCCCCACCTCTGAGTGCCGTGACAGGAGCCATGTAATCCTTTCCTTGCCTATTCTTAGTATTTATGAGCATTGAGAGCCTTTGGGGAGAACGAGCAGCAGACACGTTCCTGCCTTGACGACTCGGCAGCCCCCCTCGCCTTGTCGGCCTTGGCGGAGCCCCACCGGGACCGCTGTCAGCTGCTGGAAGCCACCCGTGGATGGGTCGCCAAGGGAGCCCGTGGCAAACCTCCCGTTGACTTCAGCGGGAACAAGAGGAGGCTGTCAGGGAAATATCAGCTTCATGCTTGCCCTCAGTTGACCCACTGAAGGCAACGGCATGGCTCTGTGTGGAGCTTGGCCCGTCGAGCTGTCGCTCGGGCGCTGCCCTTTGATCAGCTCACACTGGGATCTGCAGCGCTCCCTCCTGTCATGAAATGAGACCTTAATTCTCTACCGGTTTTGCTCCTTAGGTTTAACTAAAAAAACAGTAAATGATTTTCATGCTTTTCGGCTATAAATGTCGCCGTAAAATAGGGCACCCATTAAAATGATTTGTTGTATGCGATTGTTCAGAGCGAAGGCACTGGTGGAAACTCACATAAAGTCCCAATGCTTGAAGCTGTCAAGGCAATTACCCTCGAAATCCCATCCAGCTCAGCCTTGCATAGACAGGAACAGTAGCTCTCTTTCTCCGACTTGGCTTAAAAACATTCCTGCGGGTATTGATGGAGTCGGCAGAATGAAAGCCAGGCCGTGGTGTGTCTGGAGGACTGCTGTGTGTCTGGGTGGTGCACATCTTGAGACTGCTCTGCAGCTGTGGGCATCAGTCTCTATGGCGTTATAAGGCCCTAGGCCTGTTGAACCACATGATTTCCCACAGCCGCCAGGCACCAGGCCATCTGCGGTTCTCTGAAATCCTCTCTGTTTGTCTGCACTCTTGCTTCACTCATCTGTGCAATGCCACAGCCAACCAGACTTCACCAGTTAGCAGAAGACATCCCTGAGGATGTGGGCTGCAAACCAGGAATGGGGATCACAGAGAGTATCCCCATGCCATGGTGCCCCTGCTCAAAAGGGATGTGTGCCCACCATTTGAGGAGGAGTCTCAAAGGCCCACCTGGTTGGCAGAAGCAAACTGGGAAATTCAAAATATCACTGCTCAGTCTTGAACAACCTTGGACAGGCACCAGAAAGGGAGTCTTAAATCCCTCAGCATGCCAGACTGTACCTCGAAGTTTGGCGGGGTGGATGCAGGAGAAGGAGCATCTCTTCAGGTAGGTGGTCCCCTTGGGGCAGGAGAACTCCGCATAGTAGACGTGCGACTGGTCAGGGACACCACAGTCAACAGGATCACAAGTCACAGATCGGTCCCACCGCCCCGAACTGCATGTCAGCACCACCTCCTGCTACAGAGAAAGCAAGTCTCCATCAGACCCCAGCAAGAGTGCTCTAATGCAGTGTTTTACTAACTTTAAAGGAAAACATAAGCACTTGAAAATACACAACAGTTTCCTAAGCAAGAAGTTATTCCCAGCTCTGCATACTACCATTTTTTTTCCCCATAAGATCAAGTCTTAACTCAGGTGTTGATGGGCACTTCTCCTGTTGATTGGTCTTCCAAATGTCCTGATCCTGTCATGCCCACAGACTTCACTGAAATCAGAGATTTGTAAAATCTCATTTTCAGGTTGTCATTACATAGCCCCTCTTACACAGCTGGGGGCCTGCATAAGAACCTGAGTCCCAGCTGTAGGGATTCCAGCCCTACGTATGATTAATACAGGGTACTGACCTTGCCAAAACAGAGCAGTACATGATGGTGTGCTATGATTTCCACCCCCAGACTCCTAACCCAAAGAGGATGTGCAGAAAAGAAAGATTTCTTTCAACTCTTTTCACTGCCTCTTCCTCATCTGAGCAACATCATGCTTCTTGTGCACTCAGACCTGTATGCTCCCAGGCAATGCGTTTTGCTGGAACCTGAAAGCTGTGGGTGCTCCTTGGTGCACGGCAAGGTCATGGTGCAGAGGGCATCCAGTTTTCCTAAAAATGCCTGGAGATGTATACTAGCATGTAGGGTCATATAGCCAAATTGTTGCAGAGCTGGGGAAATGTGGAGCTGTGGGCATGGAAACCAACCTGCTGGCTGTGCCATGCTCTCCTCCCTCTCATCTGCAGGCTAGGACAGGACTGTGTGGCACCTCTTTGCTTGGTCTTCCCCCTTCCACCAAAGGACTGCTCCATATCAGATACCCCAGGGTGCCCTCTCCCACACCCAACATAGAAGATCACTTTGGGCTCAGGGCAGGACACCTGTAAGCTGCTACCAGTTATGACAGCCACACGCCAAAGCTCTGTCCAGAAGTTTCCCATCTTGCTGCCCAACGAAGGAAAACTGTCACCCAAGGCAGAATTATTTCATATGGCTTCACGTCTATTTTGTTTTTCTTCTGTGATAAGGGCCTGCCTTGGCTCACAGAGCTGTGGTGCCATGTAATTAATAACCTCACCAGTGACTAAGGGCTGAGGGGTGCATCCCTCCTGCCTCACTGCACTTCCCAGTGCCTAACAGGGTAAGCACTTGGGGATCCCTGAAGGAAACAGGACCCACCCTGTGCCCGTGGCCTGACTCACCTCTGCCTGTCTCCATTTGGGTGAGTTCACACTATGCCTAGGGCTTGCGGGGTAGCCAGCTCAGTCCTGGAGACTTCGGTCCCCTCTCCAGGAATAAGCTAAGGATAGGACACACTGTGCCCAAGGCCCTGCCAAGGTGACTGCCCACATCCAAGCTGCTCTGCTCTGAGGACCGCCAATCCCAGGTCTCCACATCACTGGCTGAGAGTGGAGCTGGCTCAGAGATTTACAAGGCAGATCCTGGCCTTCTGGAAAGCAGGATGAGCCCTTTCATGCTGACCTCTGCCCTGCCTCACAGGCTCAGGCAAGAAAGCACAAAGGAAGAAAAGCTCCCAGAGGCTGTTCTCTGTAGCCGTCTAAATATAGTCACTTCGCAATGACTTCATTTTTTCCCCAAGCCACTAACTTCAACTTTAAAAGAGAAAATGTCTGTGGGATGTTTAACCCTCCCTTCCAGAGAAGAGAAATGGCTGCCTCTCCCTCTGCAGGAGTGTGTTGCCTTAGCCTGAGATGTCCCCTGCTGTGGCACTTAGCCTGGAACAGCTGAGGACAGCTTGGGGACACAGGAGGATGGCAGCAAAGCAGGACAACCAGCACTGCAGTCCAGCATCAGAGCTGCTGTTAGACTGCCATGCGCTGGAAAAGCTGCAAGGAGCCTGGGGTTGGAAACCTTTGGAAATCAGCACTCAGTTAAAGAGTCACTGCCATCCCAGTGGTACTCACCTGTGCATAGCCCAAGATCTTCCCGCTGCCAGAGCGTGGCACGAAGCCCTGCTCACAGGTGACGGAGCACTCCATGTGCCTCGGGCCATCCGAGGAGCAGTTCAGGCTGGCGACGTGAGCGAGAAGTGGCTGCGTGCAGCTTCCCAGCCCTGTGCAAGCACCATGCGCACAGCTGTGGAGGAGAAGAGGAAGGATCAGCCCCAGGTTCCCAGCATTCTGCAGCAAGGGACTGGCCAGCTGGCACCTGCATGGGATGCTTGGCAGGTCTTGGATGCATGTGTAAGGAAAGATGAAGGGAGCTCTGGATGGGGCAAAGGGCAGGCTAGTCTGGTGGTTAGCAACCCTATTCATGGCAACAGTTGGAATTTGATGATCTTTAAGGTCACTTCCCACCTAGGCTTTTCTATGACTCTATGATAAATCCTCTACCCATTAGAAGGGCAACAGGTATGTCAAACTCTACACAAGACATCAGAGATGTCCAACTCAGCAGATGTCCAACTGCAGGAGAGGATTTAGCTGGAGAAGGAACCTCTGCAGATACTGGAGAGCCAACCAAGAGATGTCCCTCCAACTATCTGCCAGGCTCTTTGGCCTCAACACACAGACAAGACTACCTGAACACGCATCTCCCCAGCTCTAAAGTTCGTCTGTGGCCACCAAGGTGAGACATGGAGACGTGGATAAGGGAAGAACAACCCTCCTCTCTGAACCATCTCAGGTTGTGAGAGGGCTGAGGAGATCTGCAAGGTGTCACCTGTTCCCAGGAAACAAGCAACCCTTTCCTTACTACAGCAGCTCCCTGCCAAAAACCTGCTGTCCATTGATTGATCATCACAAAATATCCCAGAGCAGAGAGCAACATAAGCCAGGAGACCAAGTTCTCCATCAGTGAAATGCACCAATGGATGAATTAACTGGGATGGAATTAGGGCACAACATGGGATCAACAAAACTGCTCCCATAAGCTAATGCCCAGGACATTTGGTAGTCAGGACTGTTTTGTTTCATTTGCTTTTTTAACCATCTGCAAGCAGTATCAGTGCCAAAATGCCAGCAGCCCCTAGCACTCCCCCTGCTCCCTGGCCAAGCCTCGCTTTGCGTGGGACTGCCCACAGCTTTGTGCACTGTTTGGCACACAAAAAGCAAACACTGTGCTGCTTTTGCCTCTTGCATTGCCCGACCCCACCAGCCGAGGACGCACGGCCAGGAATTCCACAAATGCACAGAAATTGCTGCCAGCGGGGATGCAAAGGGAACGCAATGTGCTGTCAGATCTGGACAAAGGCACAGTGGAAACCTGTGGGCCACAGCCTCCAAAGAGCTGGTGGGCACAGACAGAGAGGAGGAATGGCACGGGAGGGGACCACAAAGGAGAACAAGAAAAAAGGGGCTGTTTTTTCAATGCAGACCTGTTTATGAAGTGAGAAATGGTTTCAGGGCAACTGCTGCAAATTCTTTCACTAGCTTATATTTCCATTTGCTTCCTTTTTAAAGAATTTGTTTTACGAGCGCAGCGTTTGTCAGGTCATTAGCTTCTGAGGGCATCTGGTACCAATTGCAGCCCTCTCCCCTCCCTCCTGCAGCCACCTTCCCCGGTCTGCTCTGCTCCCCACCAGTGCCCTCTTCCCGTGACAAAGCCTCTGCCCTAGCCCTGTGTGCAAGGGGAATGGGACCAAACTGCCCTCTTCTACCCTTCCTTTATCATATAAGAAATCAGTGCATGGAAGCGTGCTGGAGACCACAAGAAGCACTGGAACAAGCTGCCCAGGGATGTGGTAGAGTCATTGTCCCTGGAGGTGTTCAAGAAACGTTTACGTGTTGTACTGAGGGACGTGGTTTAGTGGGAAATATTAATGATAGGTGGATGGTTGGACTGGATGACCTCAGATGACTTTTCCTTCCCTGGTGATTCTATGATTCTATGAAACCACAAGCAAAGAGCAGCACTCCTCCTGCCCTGATAGGATGGACCATCACAACACACCACAGCAAGGAACTCCTCACCCCTATAACCTCTGGGCACAGGGGGATTATGTCACCAAGTCACAGCCCTCCCACTGAGGAAATGCTGGGGGTTGAGCAGCCAGATGGCCAGACATCTGTAGGTTGGGTTGCCCCATTGGGTTCTGCACAGATTCTGTGAGCCAAAGCAACATAACACTTCAAGAGGGTAGATTTAGATTGGATATAAGGAAAATGTCCTTTACACTGAGGGTAGTGAGGCACTGGCACAGGTTACCTAGTTGAATGGGGTGGATGCCCCGTTCCTGGAGACTTTCAAGGCCAGGCTGGCCCAGGCACTGGGCAACCTGATGGATTAGTAAATGTCCCCATACATTGCAGGGGAATTGGACCAGATGACCTTTAAAGGTCCTTTCCAACTCTAAAGATTCTGTGACTCTATGAAACGTTCCCATGAAGCCATGATGAGTTTCAGAGGGCATGCCCACCCCGGGCTGTATGGTGGTGGCACCCTACGGGCACATCCAGCCAGGACAGAGCTGGGATGGGGCCACTCTGAGGGTGCTGGCCGAGTGGTGACAGATGCATTGTCTGGGACAACCATGCAGCTGGGATGATGCCATCACTGAACAACAAATGGCAGAGCACAGATTGCTTTCAGCACTGCCAGGCACAGCTTTGTTTTCAACTCGTTAGGAAACAGCTGATGGTGCTGGTAGAAAGCAGATCAGGAGACAAGCAAGTTTCTTTCCTCGTTATATATGGACAATGTTATATAGAGGTAGTAAGAGATTTATAATTCTGGATCAAAATGTGAGACTGAAACATTAATTTCTATATGCACTACACATGTACACTCATGCACACTGTCTGTATGTGTATATAGCTATCTTTCAGAAATAATTAGCTTTCTCTCCTTGCCCCAGAAGATAATTAACCTATCACCACTCTCTGTGTGACTAACAAAAACCCACCACGCCTCAGCTGGGACATGATCTGAGGCATGTACCCAAGCTCTGAGTGGTGCTGAGTTCTCAGGCTGATGTTGTTATTCCAGAGCCAACGAGGGGCTCACGTCTCTGAAAACTGCTCTTCCCAAATACACCAGTAAACTCAGTTAAAAAAACACATCATTCTACCTATCCCCTTGCTTCAATTGTTTCTTTTATGGTTACCAATACTGTTGTAATACTCTGGGACAGGATCCTTTGAGCCTGTTGACATACAAATGCAGGACAAGAAGATCCGCACTGCAACCCACATGCCTTGCTTACTCAGGTAGCACAATGGCATAAATCATTGCTCCCAGCTGCTGGAACACCCCAGAGAAGGCTGGACAAGGAAACGGTGCAGTTAGCCCAGTTCTGATCTCAGCATGAAGGAGATCTTTCTCCTTTTGATGATAAATGAAATTCCTGTATCACAGCTGCAAACTCCTGACACTTCGCCATTTCTGATTCAGGCCATACAAAATGTATGGCAAGCCAGTGTTTTGGCTCTCTTTTTTCCATTTTCCATTTTTATCTCAGCATCTTTTGAAGCTCAGACTAATGATTTGTCAACAACATTTTTACAAAATAGCAAGCTTTTTCTCCTAACTCACTCCACATCAGCACCAGCCTGCATGATTTCTGGGCTCATCAAGTTCCATAACTCACACATCAAAGAAAATTTCAGATCTGGAAATTTGAGAAATTCTGCCAAGCAATGGACCTGATTGCTCTGGAATGATAAGAGCTTTGTTTTGAAAGTGGAACAGTTCTACAAAGTTAGAGTAGAGCTTTTCCTTCAGGATCCTTCTTTAATATAATACTAGAGGCAACCACCTCCAAGGGAACACATTGAACCAGAGGTGAGTGTGTCAGTAAGAACAGCTAATTTTGTTGTAACGAATCCCAAATTCTGAAATAGACAAAGGTTTGCATTTTACAGTCATTATTTCAGAGGACTCAGAGGATACTGAAGGATTTACCCAAGTCAAACTAAGCCAAGTCAAATACAGTGCAGCTGTCTAAAGTATAATAAATCATCCATAAATTGCTGTAGTATCTACCTAAGCTTTCAACCCAAACATTGCTGCTAAAACAGCTCGAGATCCAACTTTAACAGGGGAAAATTATTATTATATGAAGTTCATCTGATAGTGCAAATCTGGGGGGCTATGGAAGGTGCTGATGGAAAGGTAAAGCCTTCAGCCAAACCTCCTGAAGTTAAAAGTAGTCACTGCATGTGTGCTGGTGGAGTCCAGATTGTAGCACAGAACATCAGAGAGATAAAAGGTGTTTACTCCAATGCTGAAAAAAAAGGATAGCTAGGAAATGAGGAAAGGTGTTTTGGAAATACTTGGGAATTTCTTCTCCCTTCGGGCATGTTTCTCATGAAGAGGAAAGGTCTCACAGCATTACGGTAAATCTGATGGCAACCATCCTTGTGGGAGCAGGCTGCATGTACAGACCCAACGGTGGTGATGCTTCTTGATTAAGATCTTCACTGAGGTTGCCACCTCAAGAGAAGGTGTTTGCTTCTCTACGTGACTCCCAAAGAAACTTGCCAAAACAATAACATCCCTGTGAGTCATCCGCTGTCATCCACCTCACAGATAGAGAGAAGGCACTGACTGCTAAGATGTCAAATGATCTTTTGGCCTTCCTGTAGCCATAGGAGGCAAAAGCAGAAAAAGAAACAAGAGGAGCTCAGTCTTAATATATTTCCAGAGAGCTCCTGTAGTTTACTGCACCAAAATATACGTGATTAGTGGGCATGGTGGTGATGGGTTGATGGTCTCACCAGATGACCTTAGAGATCTTTTCCAACCTTTGTGATTCTATAGATTGATTTGATTATTCATTCATGTCATATAGTTCCTCATTCAATGCTAAGTCACAGCTTGAAGCAGTGATGGAGCACCTGGTGGGAGGGCAGGGCCAACCCAGGGGAGCTCAGGTGTATGCAATGAACCTGAGTGATGAAAGGTATGGAGCCAGGATCCACCCCTTCCCTGACCTCATTTAAGGGCTGGCAGTGGAGGTGAGAGTATCTTGCTGGAGATCACTGCCTACCTTAGGCCTTCAAGAAAAAACAGTTTTTTTTGTTTGTTTGTTTGTTTGTTTTTTTGTTTTTTTTCCTCTCTCTCCATGTCTGTTGTTGCTTCATTTGTCCTTGTTCTCATTCGCAGCAGCAAAAGAGTTTGCTACTATTGCTGTACTTTTTGTACCATTATAGTGTTACACTTAGGTGGCTCTCAGTCCCTGCACAGGAGCTGTTATCCCCTCTATGGTACTCCTGTGATGGCTGGGCTGTGCAGAGATACTGATGTGCTGCTTGGGCTCATTCTCAGGGAAGTTCACTCCCATTAGGATGTTCATTCATCCACTTCGTAAGTGCGATTGCAGAGAGCAAGGCAAAGGCAAGCCCATGCTGTGGGGAAGATGGTGGTCAGGATTATGGCTCTGGTTCTTGAGAGGTTTTCTCCTGTAGAAGATGTGCACAGTGCTGTGAAGGCAACCTGCTCTGATGAGCAGTTACCTCTTAGAAATGCGTTAAAAATGCTCCTTCTCTATCTGATTTTTCTCTCCCTGACACCCTTTCCGTATAGAAAAAAGCCAAAGCCAGCTCTTGAGTTAATTGAGCATTTTGAGGGTGTCATGCAGGAAACACAAACACAATGCAGACTGCATTTTGCATCACCTCTCCTGTTAACTTGCCAAGTCACTTCCCAGCATATGCTAACATAAAATAAAGCACTCTAAAAACAAAGCTGAGCTAGAAATAAAAATAACAGAGGAAATGAACAACTTTCCCTTGGTTCGATCTATGGCCCGTACCAAGGAAAACAGGAGGATTGCGGCTCAGTTCTTAAAATGTAAATAAAAGCATTAAAGTTTGAGAGCTGGAGTTTGGTGGGATGGCATCCTGATGGGAGCAGCATTCCTCGAGCTGGGTGCAGCTTGGGGTTGCTAAGGTTGGGAAGGAACAATCCCAAAGGAGAATCCCTGGGTCAGGCTTCACATTGGGCACGCCCGTATCTGCAGATGGGAATTCTCAGGACACTCATTAAAAGCCTGATTTCTGCTTGACCTTGCCCTATTTTAATTGTGTTCAGAAGGCAAAAATGTGCCCTGGCTGCTTGCAGAGACAGTGGAGAGGGGATTTGTGGTGCTGGAAGCTATGTGTGAGGAGGGACAACTGCTGTGGTCTTGCTCTTCCACCTGTAATGGACAAAGCAGCTCTGAAAAGAGAAGGCAGCTCTTTCCTCCAAACACAGATGTGCTTTCCTAGTGTCTGATGCCTGCTGCATTTCACCAGCAAAAATGCAACCCCTTTGTTTTCCTAAGCCTGCAAAGCACTTTGAGATCCTTCAAGATGAAAAACGTTACAGAAGTACCAAGCCACCATATTTATTATTTTGGCAATGAGCATTTCTAGACCAAAGTCAGCAAACCTCATTTCTTTCTTGCTTTTGCTACTGTCCCTCTCTTGGGTTATTTTAGGAAAGCACTTACACGCACATACTGTGTATGTGAAGCTAGGTGCGTGTGAATGGTCCATTCAGCTCTTTACTGGAATAATACAGATCTTCTGTGATCTTTTACAGTCAAATATCTCTAAACCTCTTAAGAATTTATAATCCTGTTGTTTTTCTTTTTATAGGGGATTTTTTTTTTTTTCCCCAGACTCCACCTGTCTTTATGGGAAACCAATTATTACTCCTGAAAAACAGAAATACCGCTGTACATTTGTTTTGGAGATGAAATAGATTTTAAAGAATACAATGAGAGGGGGAAAAAAAAAAAAAAAACACCACTTGGATATTTCCTGCCTTAGCAGAGGCAGATCCTTTATTATTAGTGAGACCACTAGAGGTAGGTAGGTACTGGAGGTTAGAGCTTAACCCTCCTTTAAATATTCAAGCCTCTTATCCAAGAGAGTAATACTATAAATAACACTTCCTACTCCTAAGACTCTGTGGATCTGATTTGCTCAGTGTGTTTGCTAAGGGCACAAGCATAAGCTGTAACTTGACATGCTATCGCCTCACAGCTGGTCAGGAAAAGCCATGCAAAGAGGCGAACAGCCCATGTTTGGGGTGCTTGAAGCTGCCTCATGGCAACAGAGAGCTGAAGACAACCACTTGGGTGTTCTTGCAGCCTGGCTGATGAGCAGAAACATCTTCAGACAGTGTAATTTGGATTATTTCAGCCCAACCTCTGCTAATGGCTGGAATCTCTGGCCAGGAGAAGCCACTCTAGAATATGTCTTCTCCAAAGACCAGCTCCTTGGCTGCCTTCCTCTCGCCCAGCTGTGGCACTACATCTTCAGATCTCAGTGCTGCAGGCAAGAGAAAGGAGAGGGGAGGCTCAAGGGTCCCATTGGGTCCTTCCATGGTCATTTGCAGGGGACAGCAGGCACTGTGTGCTTTGGTGCTAGGGAAGCAGGCTTGCACTTCATCACTTGAGCCTGTTGGCTGTGGGAGACTCAGAATGCTTTTCCCACAGGTGGGATGTGCCTAGGAATCCTCCCTGCTGTGGAGCTGCTGATGTCTAACAGAAATAAGTTGACAGGGCCTTGGACTTCCTCCTCTTTCACCAGCTATGTGTTTCTATGGAGCTTTCAAGAGAATAACATTCACTTTCCGCTATTTGTCCTTTTACATCTGCCCATACACCAGCAATGCTCAGCTATGTCTGGTTAGTCTGCTCCTCCTTTCAGTCACTTCTAAGGGGGGATGGGAAGCTCCCAAGCAATGAGTGAATAAAAATTATTTCAAAAGATGAGAAAACGTAATTGAAAAACCACATCAGTTGGCTGGGGGCTTGGAAGCATGTGTGTACATAGCTCTAACAGCTACCAGGAGGAAACAGTCTGCATTTCAGGTGGACGCTGATCCTTTAATGTAAGGCTGAGAATAATATTTATATGCTGACTCACCTTGATTTATGTTTCTGTATAAATCACACATGCACTTTAAAAAAAAAAAAGTCAAAAGCAACTGCAGGATATTCACAGCTTCCAGGGCTCAACATAAATCAATCGTACCATGATCACACAAGCTTTTAGACAGGCGCACACACACTCAGTCATTATCAGGGATGTTTGTCCATCCAGGGTCATCAACAGAAGAAAAGTAAGGATGGCAGCAGTGATATGATGACCCCAGCCAGAGCCCTTTGTTCTCAGTGCTTCCACAAAATCTCGGGCTCAAACACAGCACTCCCAGTTCAGGGATTTAATAACCAGGGGCTGCCAGCCCCACTGCCCCTCCTGGATGAACCTGAGCACAATCTCCTCATCCTCCTTGCATCTGCATTTCTGGCATGCTCTTGGCTTAGTCTACGTTGGATATTGGTCCTTCCTTGTGTTTTTCCTCACTTTCCTTGCTTGGAAAGAGCTCCCCATTCTGTAAACACTGCCTCTCATTCACAGCTTTACAAAGACAGGTGGGCACCGTTGAGTGCCTGACATCAATTAATTAGTGTGTGGCTGCTACTGTCATACCAGCAAATTGTAGTGAGGCAGCACAAGTCAGCACAGGGAGGGTGCCAGCTGCAGTGGGGACCAATGTGCCCAGTGGCGTGTGGAAGAATGGGGTGAGATAAGATGATGTTGTATTGCACATGATGATGACTGGTCAACAGTTGGATTTGATGATCTTGATGTTGGTAATGTGTATATAGAAGAAACCCACGTTTCAGCTTCAGTACCCTTCACTAACAACTTCTTAGAAGGGACAACTTTGTTTTGCCATTAGGAAATAGCCCTTTAGTGTAGCTCTATACAGATGCACAGGCCATATGCCATTTTTTTTTTCCCCCGGCCCTATTTCCTCCACAGCAATATAAACAAATCGAGTCTACTGACACTGGACTTTCCAGTGACAGCTCCAAACCCACCAGAGAATAGCCGTGAAAAAACTCAAAGAGTGAATCACAATTGTTGGGGTTGGAAGGGAGCTCTGAAAGCCATCAGATCCAATCCCACCACTCAAGTTCATGCTTGCAAGCATATAGATGTAAAAACATTATAATTGAAGCCCAGAGCCCCTGGAGAAGAACCTGGGGAGGCAATACCTGTAGTGTTGCTGGCCATGTCCTTCCTTGTGCTGCAGCAGGCAGATGGGGGGCTCGGAGGGGCTGGGCACAGCCAGTGTCCGTAGGGCCACAGCTGCAATGCCCACAAGTGGTGAGGAGAAGTTAAGCAGCATTGATCCAGCCCAGAGGGATGGTGGCTCCTGCCCGTGGGTCACGCTAATGATGAGTGGGTTTTGCTGGCATGACAGCTCATGTGTCCCTGCAAGAAGTAGAAAGAAGTTGCTAGCTGGGAGCTCTTTCTCTCATTTTGGTTTTCTTCTCCTGCTTGCCCATACATTCCAATGGATCAGCTTGGAACAATGTTTGGGAAGCAGAAAGTGTTGCAAGGTGAAAGAGGGATACCAGCTCCCAAATCAGTGACAGATGGCTGCCAGTGTCCCTACCAAGACACTATGGACAGGTGTCACAGCACACAGGATGCTCACCCAAAGAGTGGTTCAGCCCATCCACATCACCCAGCTGGACGGTCACCCGAGGTTTGTGCTGGTTGCTTGAGATGGTGCCATCAGAGGCCAGGAAGAGTAGGACAGCGGTTGGCACCACGGGTCTCTCAAAGCACACCTGGGCAAGGAGAGCAAAGGAGACCCTGAGAGCGAGGACACCTAGTGTAACCTTTGTGATCCTGAGGGAGAGAGGTGGACTAGGGTAGCTCTTAACCAAAACCCAGACAGCCCCCTCTCTCACCTTCCATGCACACCACAAGTGGTGCATCTAGAAAGCACAGCCACGAATAGCACCACTGCAGTATTTCTGTTGAGGATGAGAACTGGCCCCAGCACTTGGAGTGACTGTGGGCTGTCTGTCAGTCAGCATGGGGAAAGATTTGTGGCAGAATGTCCTGCCTGCTCAAGGAGCCAACAGCTTCCTGCTTGTCTGCAGCCATGAAAGCTACAGGAGACAACCAGGAAATGCATGCCATCGAGTATGGTGGGGCAGATGTTCCTTGGAAGTAAGAGGGTAGCAATGTTTTTCTCCCCTACCCTGGCACCAAGATGTGTTTTGATTCAGTTCCACTCTACAGAGTGTTTCTGTTGAACGTAGGTATACTTGGATCCCAGGAATTCAAAGCAAAGCTGTGTTTGGGAGAAGTCCCAGGTGATCACATCAGGCACTGCTTATAGGTATTGTGGGATTCGGCTCTACCCCAGTGCTGGTATGGGGCTGAGGAAGGTGTTATTCCCACTGTTCCCCATCCTCACTCAGCATACAAAGGGTGGAAGAGACATTGGCATAGACTGGAGCAGGAGAAATCCTTCTGCATCAGCTCAGATCTGCCAGCCTGCAGAGTGGCCCCAAGTTAAAGCCACAGCAGCTGACTCATTTAACATCCCAGTTCTTTCCTTTTTTTTTTTTTTTTTTTTTTTTTTCATATTTTTAATTTGTTTTTACATATTTCATGCTTGACCACAGCAAGCTATCTTAATTTCTCTTCTCCCTCTCTCTCCCCCTTCCCGTTTAATTTCCTGTGTGTTACGCATCCTGACTTGCCTCCAAGTGATTTTGATTCCTCTCTTCCTCAGATGTGTTGGAAACAGAGAACAAAGCATGGCCACAGATCTGCAAATGGTAATTATTCCCATCTGCACAGTAGATGCCTCATTAGGTGGCACAGCCATGTGCACCTCTTGCCCTCAGCCTGCCTACAGCCTGACCCAAAGTTTCCCTTGCTCATTGGTGCCACCTCTTCAGCAAGACAGTGGGAAGAAATTCCTACCCTATGACAAGCCTTGTGGCATGTTTTTAGCCTTCGTGACACAGGTGCAGCTCTAAAATGGCCATGGGGATTGGTAGCCATGAAACTGTGCACATGCATGTGTGAACAGTTCCTGGCCATGCAGGCGGGTGTGCTAAGTAAATTGTCAACAAGAATCCATCTTTCCCAACCCAATATGTTACCAATCAGGCAAACTATTAAGGAAAAAAAAAAAAAAAAAAAAAAAAGGAGAAAAAAAGAGGCATATTTATTACTAGTCCATAAATAATTTTATGGATGGAAAATAATAGCACTCTTAAAGAAAGCATGGAGAACCAGTAATGAAAGTCTTTAATATAAACATCCATAGAGGAAGAGAACTGACCACAAGCTCCAATAAAACTGGAACATGCTTTAACCCCTGGTGAGAGGTGGAGAGCAAGCTTTCATCTAGGTAAGGCAGAGGGAGATTTCTGCCTTCGTGCTTAGCAAAAGAAGAAAGTAGGTTCATTTGTCATGGCTGGCACTAAAGACTGAAGCTGGAAAGTAGGTTGTGAGCACAGACAGAAGGAAGGAAAAAAAAAAAACACAACAGTTTAAGGAATCTCTTTGGAGAAACAGAGGAGCTCAGAGGGCAGAGAGGCAGCAGCAAAGTTTGACTCTGGTTTGAGTGGGTGGCAGCCCTGCACACAGCAGGGGGTTGGAATTAGATGATTTTTAAGGCCCTTTCCAGCTGAAGCTGTTCTATGGTTCTGCCGTGTGATTCTGAGAGCCCCAGGCTGATGTGCTGTGTAAAAGGCCTCCAGCAATGCAGGCCAGGTGTTCCTCAGGCTGCAAGGAGGCAGCAAGCCCAGCTTTCCAGCAACACCAGACAGGAGCCATGAAACCTCTGCACCACGGCTGCAGCCAGAAAATCAGTGCTGTAAAAATCACTTAGGTCTAACCCTTGGCTCTTCCACTCCCTGCTCCTCTGCCTGCTGGGATGAAGAGGTCTGATGCTCCAGGCTCTCTCCTGAAAGCCCCAAAGCCCCCTGGACTGGTACGGGGTCAGCAGGGGCAGCACCTGCATACCGTGGCTGGCTGCTGTGGGCTTTACAAAGAGTTCAGTGAGGTACACAGCCCTATCTGAGCAGCAGTTAAGACTCCTATAGCTCCTACAGAAGAACAGAAAAGCAAAGAAGTGGCTCTGGTCACCAAAGTGCTGGGGCAAAGGCAAGCAAATCCTCTCATCCCTGACTGCACACCTTGCTTACCTTCAGCCAAACTCTCTCTCCACTCAAGGGCATCTTCTCATCTGGATCCTGAGCATTCTCTTGGCTGGGAGCGCATGGGAACCAAGCAGCCTGGGAAAGGTCCTTTGGCACAGCGTGAAGGTAGGATTTACATGCCTGAAAGGAGAGCATTTCTGGTTTGCTTTCTTTTTTTTTTTTAATACAGAAAGAAGAGAAGAAAGTGGGAGAAAGGTTTTGCAAGTTCTCTTATTCTCTAAAGTAAGGCACAATGCAATGTGAAGCAGAGATATGGTATTTCCTAGCATGAAGGTAGTTAGTTTGTGGGACTGACAGCTAAACATCCACCACATGCACATTAGACTTTTGTCCTTTTAGGATGCTGTAAATAAGATCTTGAGGTAGCACCTGTGGGGCTAATGACCGGCAGTAATGACCAGGCTCTAGGATGGTAGGAGGACCACAGTCTCTGTGACTGAGTCAACAAGATCTGAAGATGCAAACTGTTTGCCTGAATGCCAGATTTCAGCCACATCAGTAACCTCAGCCATCTCCATAGGCCTGCAGGACAAAGCCTAGGAGATAAGTACATGTGTCCTCCTAGAGCAGCAGGCACCTGAGGCCAAGGCTGCTCACTAAACACATGTGAACTAACAATTTAATGATGATTTGGATCTTGTGAAGGATGTGCCTTACATTAGGTCAACTGAAGTGCACGTGCAGATAGCTAAATATGTGCCCTCTTCACGCTTCTTCCCCTTCTTCAGTTTGTTAGCAAAGAATACACACACATTATGTTAAAACTGATCATGTGAAATCCCGTTCTAGACCTCCAGGGCCCTGCTCCAAAACCTATATGAAAGATGGGAATTCTCCCATTGATTTTTGCTTTGGCTCCAGAACAGAGAGCTTGAGAGCAACGCAGATGTTGATGCATGTGTGATTTTTATCCTTTCAGGCCCTCACCTTATAGGGTATTCTATTTATTTATTTATTTGACTTTATAGCATTGCTCATACGCTCCAAGTTGCACATCAAGCTGATGGGATGGGGTGGTCACTATTTGTCAAACTGTATGGTGCAGAGGAGATGCTCCTTGTTTGGATGAGACCTCCATGCACTGCAGTTCTTGGCCCTAGGAACTGCTGAAAGAGGGATGTAAGAAATGTCCCAGTCATCTGCTGGCTCTCTGCATGGGAACACAGTAGTCCAGAGTTGCACTGATATTTTTTTTTTTTTTTTTATTTCTTCTTTAGTACACTCCTGCACAGGCAGTGAATTCCCCAGCTTTACTACATGGACATTGCTAGAAAAGACCTGAAGACTTTTTTATTTTTAATTTTTTTAATTTTTATCATGCCTAATCTCACCTTTGCAATGGGCTCTCCGGTGACCAAGGAAACAGGGCAGGACTTCTCATCCTGATGAGAGGCAAAAGCTTTTGCTGCCCACAGGTCCATGAATCCATCTGGTGTGTAGGGACCACAATCCACGACACTGGTGGTTTTCTCGAAGGGCTCACACACACCGTCTCCATCATGCACATAGCACAGGCTTGGCTCCCCTAGAGGAGATGGATAATGCCCTGCTTACAAACTGAGATCCAGCCACACGTATTTCCTGTCCTAGGAGGCATGCTGGCCACTTGGCCTTGGGATTTCCCATCTCAAGGACCTGGCATGCCTTGGAGATGACCCCAGCTGCAGACTGACATTTTATTGTGATGTGGTGCTATGGACTGCAATGAGGGAGGTGTGAGTAGTTCACTGCTTGACTCCTGCTGAGTAAGGTTGCCTAAATCCGTTTGGACTCACCCACACAGTTGAAGCCTTTTTCCTTTTTACATTTCCTGGAACAGCCATCTCCATCCAGCAAATCCCCATCATCGCATTCTTCTTCCAGGCTCCTATAAGGACCACAGATTTTTTCACACCTTTGACTCACATTTCCTAGGTGCTTCTTCCTAATGACAAGTGAGGGCTCCATATCTTGGGTCCATTTCCAAAGAAGGACAACATGTGAAATAAAGTAAGGAAGGAGACACATCTTTCCAGGAGATTAAAAAAGGGAGAGTGTTCAGGTTGGATTGCTCATCCAGACCCTGCCCCTCACACAGAGTGCCTCCATCTCCTTTACATGTGATGTTTCACAAACATAAGCTCTATAGCCCATTCTGATGGGAGGACTCAACAGTCATATACCCCCCACTGGAGGACCAACCCCATGATTCTCTTTGGAGCAGGGTGACCCGACAGCTTCAAGACCCTCCACTGAGAGGAAGGGGTTTCTTGACTTACACAGTCACCTTTCCATCCCCACAGTAGGGTGCTCCATGGACATGTACGAGTGGTGGGGATGCTTCTCCCAAGGTTGTTCCAGATACTGCCTGCACCTGATAGCGGTACACTTGCCCAGGGGTGACTTCCCTGCAGGAACAGAAAGCATGAACAAAGAGCAGGAGAGAAGAATCCATTCATCTGCAACAAATTTGCTCACCCAGGCTATAAAAATCATATGTCTGTACCCAGGCAGCATCATGGTTTGATATATGTCTTCGTACATTAAAATGCCAGAGGCAGGGGCTGTGGGAAGAGGGTTGCTGCTATGTCATGCAGAGGGGCCTGCCTTTTTTTTCTTTTTTTCCCCTAGGGTCTGAGCTGGGGAGAAGTTGCATTAACTCTAACAATCATTTTACTGGTTATGTTTCTGGGTTTAACGAGCTGCTTCTCGTTAGCAAGGGCTGTGCTAGCACAACGGGGCTGCAGCAGGCTTCCTGAACTCTGAACAAGGAATCTGCTCACAGCATTGAGCGCGGCAGTTCTCACAATAAGAACTCACACTGGCACCAAAAGGCAGCACTCACGTGTCGACAAACTCACGGTGCACCTGCACAGAGGTGGCAGGGGAACCATTGGCAAAAGGGGGATCCCGGAGGACACGGTACTGGATGAGCTTACAGGAGGAGCAGAGGGAACTGTGAGGGAGGGAGGTCAGCAGGGCCGTGTCTATCTCCATCCTCTCGTCAAAGGTGTAGATTTTGACCCCGGACACCTTTTTGTGGATGTTGAGCTTTACGGTAAAGGGAACGTCACAGTAAGTGTCCAGCGGGCCTAAATGGATGGACTCCCCCTGCTCCATCAGGATTTCAATGTCAGCCAGTGCCTTGGGAGCATCTGTGGAGAGGTATGTGGTCCAGAGAGTGAGGGAGTCGGGGTAGACAGGGTGCAGGAAGCGTAGCTCCAGGATGCAGCCATCTGGCTGGGGACAGGGCACTGTCATGTTCATGTGGTAGAGGTGGAGTTCCGGGCTCCAGGCCTGCAGGCTGGGCTCACAGGGCTGGTCCACATCTGGGGGGCCTGGGCAGGAGGAGTGAAGAGCAAAAGGTGAGGACCCACCTCCTGGTTACACACACAAGCATCAGATCTGCATAGTCTTGTCTTACTGCCATTCAACCAATGGAGATGAGGAGATGCATGCTGCATCAGGTGCAGACCTAGTGCAAAATTCTATTGTACTCAGCAGGAGAAAGGTAGCTCTGGGCTTTCAGTCCCACCAAGCATCACCAGATTTCTTGTGTAGTGAAATACTCTCATCTTCACCAAAAACTGCAAGCATCCCCTGGGGCCCAGTAGTTCAAAGCCTGCATCTGTTTAAAGCCTGCATCAGTCTTCTAAAAAATCCCAAACCTGTCTCTTTTTCAACAGAGCCAACATGCGCTTGTGGTAATTACAGGCTGATGCAAAGGAGAAAATAACATCTAATACTTCCAGCTGTAGTTTTAATTTGCCAGTGAATCAGACAGGCGGGGGAAACAGGAACCACTGAAGATAAATGAGCCAAGCTTTCATTTGTTTGGTATCACTGAATAAGCACAAATTTGTGTATTTCTTCAACTTGCCTTTGTGCATGTGTGTGTGATTTGTACTGCTGGCAAGCGATAATCCCATGAAATGCAAAATCTAGAGATGAGTTTTCAGATGCTGAGCATCAGCTACATCCTGACACTCGTGTTCTCAGTGCATGGGCTTCAATCCATGGGGACAATGAAGTCCAAGCTGTACTTTCTCAGCCCTCACTCATTTTCTGTCAGCCTTGGTGGCTGATGCACATGCAAATGCACAGAACCAGCAGGTCCTCTGGATCCACACATTCCAACAACAGCATGGACACTACAGACAGCCTGTGAGATCGCTTCATTTGTTCTCCTGCATTAGTGAGCCTCCCTGACAAGCAGACAATTAGCTCTCTCAGAGAAAGGCTCCATTTTCTTTTTCCAACCTCATCTCTGCTCGGGGGATTCACAGCCAAGGAAAGAGAAGAGTTCACCTTCTGCTTCTTCTGGGGTCCAGTAGCCAGAGGAATCACAGACCCGAGGGGATGAGGCCTCGTGCACATATTGCCGAAAAGTGCCGTCCTCAGCACAGTCATCGCAGAGCGGGTCCAGTTCCCTGCAGACCAGAGATGCAGAGGAACAACATGTGTAATTGTGACCAGTTCATTTACCATCCAAGTTTACCCAGGCAGGATCGTAGTCTACCTAGATTTCATTCTAGGGGTCTAGCCTCTTCTCCCAGGTAACAGCAATAGGACAAAAGGGGATGGCCTCAAGTTGTGCCAGGGGAGGTTCAGATTGGGTATTAGAAAAAAACATATATATTCTCGGAAAGAGTGGCAAGGCATTCAAACAAGCTGCCAGGAAGGTGGTGGGGTCACTGTCTCTGGAGGTGTTCAAGAACTGTGGAGACGTGGCACTGAGTGACGTGGTTTGGTGGGCATGGTGGAGTGGGTTGATAGTTGGACTAGATGTCCTTCGAGGTCTTTTTTCAAATGTCATGATTCTACAATTCCCTCTGGGTAGTCCCAGAGAGTCCTGGAAGAGTCTGCTCACAAACTGCTCCAGTCCCACCAAAGTGATTTGTTGGGTTGACTCAACGTCCTGAGCACTGTGAGGCTCTCATGTCTGGGCAGGGGTCAGGCTCTTGCCCATCACCATTTATTTGAGAAGGCAGAGAGCACAGACCCTCTGCTTGTCCCAGCTGCCCTTAAACAATGTTTTTTGTTTGAACTGCAAAGGACAGCTCTGCAAAAAATCTTTAAAACAACTTCAAAGTCTCCTCTTGTCCAGTAATAAAAGCACAGACCTGAAACCTGGTGGAAACTGGACAGTTTTAGTAAGAGGGGCTGCTTAGCAGAAGTGCTGGAGGCTTGTCCAGATCTCCATTGACCTCCCAGCACTATCAGGAGGAAGAGAAGACACTGAGGCTGTGCACAGCTCGCTAGCTCAATGACTCTGATTCCTCAGCATTGTTTCTCCTGCTTGAAACGTTTCCTGACTTACCCCCAGTTACTTACACCGGGAGCCTGTGACAGCACTGGGAACGAAACCCAGCTTTTGCGGTTCCAGCTCCCTGCCTTAACCACAAGGCTGCATTTCCTCCTAGTAAATGGCTATTTTATACAATAAGTGCTAAATGAAGCTCATTTTTCATTCCGTGATTGCACTCTTGGGTTTAAGAATTGGCATCGCCTCCCATCGCTCCTTGGCTTCCCCTCCCAGCACCCCGACAGCAGAAGGCTGGTGGCAAAGCCTGGTGCAGCAGCCTGCTCTCATAGCAGGGGGCTCTGCTGGAGCTGCCCAGGGGCAGGGAAAGGTTGAGGGCTGTGTATCTCCCCTCATCACCAGGCAGCTGCAGGGATGGCTGCCTGTACGGATGGGCTGAGGCTTGCCAGCTGGCGGGGGGTGTGAAAGGCATGCCAGCCCCCTCAAAGCCTTCACCGACTCCAGAAAGGCTCCTGTCCACCTCCCAGCACTGTGCTGAGCAGCTTTGCCAGCAGATCCCCACTCATACAAGCCAATGCAAGGAGAACATCGCTCATGAGGCTTCAGCTGCAGCATATGGGCAGAGAGCTTTAAGATTGAGTCTGGACCTCAGGGGGCTTCTTGGACCCTTCATCAGGCTCTTGTGCAAGCCCCAGACCATTGCAGCAACCATGACAGCAGCAGTTCTCACCTCTCGTTGATCACACCACTGATGGGGGGCAGCCAGTAGATGCTGAGGGAATCCTGCGTCTGCCCCGTGACCATGGGTGGGATGGGGATGGGCGTGGGCTTCTTGCCCTGGCTCCAGCGCTGGTACACCAGGTCAAGGTAGCAATGCATCCGGGCCACTTGGTTGGGGGTGAAGGTGTTGGTGCAGTCATCGTCTGGGAACGAAGGGAAACATATAGGTCGGGCTGGGGATGGCAAGGACTGGATGGGGGGCACGGCAGCGTGCACCTTCCTCTATCCCCAAACGCTCTTTTGGGGGATGAGTGCGAGACGCCTGCGGCTCCCCGGCCAGGCTTCGCTGGTGTCGTGTGTCCCCAATGCCACAAGATGGCGCTGCCTCAGCAGCTGCACGGCGGCTCCGATCTGCGAGGCCCATCACCCTGCCATACAGCAGAATTGCTCTGCGGGCTTCGGTGCTCCTACGCTGATAGGAGGAACACCGTCCCATCTCAGCACGCCCTTAGAAATAGAACCCAAAGGGCTGAACGCGAAGGTCCGACTTTACATTCTTACGTGTTGACCTCAGCCTGTCGCATCCCTGCCCACCAGAGAGGAGCACACAAAAAGGGGGGCTGTGTGTGAAGGTGTAAGGAAGAGAAACCCGGCTTACTAGCAACGCTCACCCCTTCCAATTTCTAGCAGCTCACCAGTGTAACTCATGTAGTTGTTGAAGGGTGTTCCCGTGAAATACATCTGGCCACAGGTGTCGTTGGTAGGGTCTGGGTCCCGGCAGAGCTTGCTCTTTGGGGTCGGGGCGGTGTCAGCACAGAGGTCTCCTGTCTCCATAGATGGAGTTGTCTCCCTGCAGGGATCATCACAAGATTCCCGCTCGCTCACTCCCTTGAAGACGTGGTACAGCCCCAGGACGTGCCCCACCTCGTGGATCATGGTGTTCGTGTGGCCAGGCACACCGTAATACGCAGGGTTGAGGACAACGCCACCTGAAATTGCAAGCACGGAGAACATCATGAGGATAAAGTGACAGCAGGCTGCAGTGATTCACCTGTGCTGACTGAAACTCTGTGCTGCTCAGGTCACAGCTGAGATGCCAGATTCAGACCTGAAGGTGGACATATCCACCGTTCCCGCAGGAAAAGATCGAGTGGTTTCTCCTCTTTTTCCACACTGATGCCCTCAAAGCTTTCAATAATTTCAGCTAGCATTTCCCTCTGTGTCTTTTCCCATAAGTCAGCATCTGCTTTGGTGCACACAACTCCAAGCAAAGTCTGGAGCCAGAGCAAATGTAATGAGTTTGCAGTGATTGTCTTTTGAACCAGAGGACAAAAGATCTCCCCCTGGGTTAGACAGCTTGCCTACAGGCTCAGGTGGCTAAAGCATGTCTGCTCCTAAGGCAGAAGAGGAGAACAAGTGCTTAGCAAAGTCCTGACACACTTGGCTTTGCCAGCTGGAAGCAACATTCAGCATGAGCCCAAAAGAAGACTGAAAAGCAGGGGCAGGTCCATGCTGACCTTGTCCCAAACACCCTGCAGGACACAGCGTTTCTCCTTCCTGCCCACCTGCCTGCAGTGAGAAAAGCAAGGAGCAGTGATGCTGAGGAAAGCTAAAAGGAGCAGAGCCTTTGCTCAATGCCAACATCTCTGACTTCTGCTCCAGGGTGCAAGTTCTGTAATGGCTGTATGCCACACCTGCTGGGAAACTGCCCATGCTGGGTGCTCCAGAACAAAACTTCTCCCTCTTCTCCTCTCTTCCTTCCTTTTCTTTATTCTGCCCAAATGGAGACCTCAGTGGAAACTCTTCTTCCTTTCTCCCTGTTCTCTTGCTTTCCTGTAGCCATCTCCTCCCCCTTCCTTGCTCCCCTATCTCCTCCACGCTGCCTATGGTGCAGGAGCAAAAGCAGAATGGCATGGCAAGCTGGTTTTATCCCACTGCTGTTAACCTAGCTTTCCTGAATGGCAGTGCAGTGTATAGTTGGCTCTGACACAGCTTGCTCCCTCCTTTGCAAGACCCTGGAGGATTTTCTGTGCCAGCTACCTCGCAGCAAAGTTTCGGCTACTGCATCTTTGCTTCTGATTGCTGCCCCTGCCAACAAAGTTAAAACTGGCAGAGGGCCACGGTGTGATCCCATCTCCAGCCACAGCATGGACAGCTTGAATTCTGCTCCTGAATCAGCTCCGTGCACTACCAGACTCCCTCATGTCCTCGAGTACAGGGCATTCCTTCCAAGAGAGGGCTGCCTCCAGATCACAGTGTCCCTGGCAGGGGATCAGCAGAACTGTGACTCCTCTTGTGGAGCCTTGCTGGACAAACACTGGGTTGGGCTGGAAAGGAGCCCTTAGAGGTGCCCTGAGCAATGCTTACAAACCCAACAGGTTGAAGGGGGGGGTGAAGAAATAGGGGTGGCATCTTCTATGGAGTGTCCTGTGTTGTGTGGTGCGTGGAAAGGTGGGAGACAACAACAAGCTGTGATGTGGCACCATATCCTAGCTGAAAACTCATGCTGGTTGTTCTTTCTCCTGCATGGAGGGCAGTTTGTCGGCCCAGAGCAAAGGATGGTTACAACACTGCTATGTTCTCTTTCACCCCAGTTGTAGAACACCAGAGCAAAGGAGTTTGCACTGCATAAGCTCCTGTTCCTACTGGTTTATGACTGGTTTCGATCCATAAGGAGTTGAGGGGTTGAAAATCCTTTCAGCACCTCCACGTTCAGTTGTGTCCTCTCATTCAGAAGGGTTCTGTACGCTGACCCTCTCCCATTTATTAGGCTGATAAGTAACACAGAGGGCACCCCATAGGTGGAGAGCCCAGTGGGGAGAGAGAAAGCTACTTTTCACTTTAGTCAAAACAAAACAGAAAGAAAAGACATCTCTGCAGCCAAACCCAAGCCTGAACAAGGCGGGGAGCTGCCTGCCCAAAGGTCTGGAAGGAGGAATGTGCATGCAGAAAGAAAATAACGTTCATAAATAAAAGAAGTGAAATGTGAAAGCCCTGCATGCATCCTGCAGCACTAACCACAGAGACGGTCAGAGGGGCACCAGAAGCTCTGCAACCAAACTGTCCTCCTTCCAGCAGAAACCCGATATTCTTCCCAAACAGGGGGAAAAAAAATGGGATTCCAATACAAGGAGGGAGAGAGCTGTTGCAGGGGAGGGAGAGATGCCAAGGCTGGGATACCCTATTGCTCCCTCTTTGCTGCTGGCTTCCCCTAGCCCATTCCTCCCCCACACTCCATGAGGACATTTGTATTTTTAGTACTTTGTGTGGCTAATTAGATGGCAGGATTAAAAACAGCATGAGAACTGTGCCTGATTTCCAGAACCTCCATTCTCCCCCAGCTTCCTGGTGAGCAAAGAGCTGCAGAGAGCCCCTGCTTCAGACCCGGATGCTTTGTTTGCCCTCTTGGAGGGTCCTAGCTGTGAAGCTATGGAAGTGTTTGCATCATCCCACTGCACCAAAACCAGTCTCCTCTCTGGCACTCTGCACATCAGACCTTCCCCTCATCTCTGTCTCTCCTCTGGGAGATGGACTGAACTGAGCCCTCCTTCTCATGCCTGACCCCCAGGATTACCGTTTACACAACCAGGAGCTCCCAGTCCCAGGACCTTGCTCTTCTGGCTGTAATGACCGAGCAAATGCAGATGGGTTCTGCTTCACGTTGACCCCAAAGAAGCCAAACTGTTCTTGGTTCAGGGCTGTTTCAGAGAACACACGCTCAGGAACAGCAAACTGCAAAGCTAAACCTGTCTCGCAGGCCAGCCTTCCCCAAGCACTGAGTCACAGCAATTAATGGAACAAACCCATGACCGTTAGTCAGACAGGAAGATGGCCATTGCCTAAGGTACCTTTGATGGAACGACTGGCCCTCCTTCAGGATCCAGTGACCTCAGCCAGATATATGAGCTGGCCTCTGCTTATATAACTACAGAAGATGGCCTCAGCTTATATAACCACCGAAAACATTTATAACTTCAAATATTCATGATTCTGTTACCTTCCTACCGTGTTTGTGCAAATACAGTTCTCCTGCAGATACACAAAATTTAAAGTGTTTATATTATTGCGTTGCTGGGATTCTGAGATAAGGCTTTTTGTTGCGGAGGGATGAATTTTATATAGGATGGGAATTCTTCATCCCTGCCTTTGTAGTTAAAGAGATGCACAAGAAAGTTCTCAGAATACGAACTCTGGATTCCAAGCAAGAGCACGCTGAATTTGAGAAGAACTCACTGTGAGTATAGTGGAAACATCAAGGTAGTAATTATGGCTACATGGAGAAGTGCAAGCAGACTTCAGATTTTGCCTCTGCTGCTGGCTGGCTGCAAGTTATCTCTGTCTTGTAGCTATACAGCAGCTGAAACATGGCCTACAGAAACACCACAGACTGGGTCATGTTCTCCAAGTCAGTCATTGTCTTTTGCACTTCAGTAAGCACAGTTGCTGCTTGCCGGTATTTTGTAGAAGAAATGCTAAGTCACAGTTTGAAGCAGTGATGGAGCACCTGGTGGGAAGGCAGGGCCAACCCAGGAGAGCTCAGGTGTATGCAATGAAGCTGACTGACCAGAAGGGATGGAGCCAGGACCCACCCCTTCCCTGACCTCATTTAAGGGATGGCGGGGGGGGGATGGGGGCAAGGGTATCTTGCTGGAGATTTTTGCCACACCTGAGGTCTTTTGAAGGTAAGAAGTTTTTTATTTCTTTCTATGCTTGTAGTTGTTGTGTTTGTGTAAACCCTCACTACAACAAAGGACCTTGCTGCTTTGCTGTTATTGCTGTGCTTTCCATCATGTTACCAGTTGGCTGAGGAATTGTGGAAAGTGGAAATGCTTGTAGGAATGTGGAGAGGGCCTGCTCAGTGGATATGCTCAGGTGTTATGAAAGAGTTTCTACAGAGTTCAAAGCCCAGACTGAAAAACTACTGGCGGAGTGAAGAACAGTAACTTGAGAACAGTCATTCTGTGGGTGTTGGGATGAGAGAAAGGGTTGAAACTGAAGAAAAGAGTTAGAGAAAGAAGTATTGTGGTACTTCTCTTGAATTCATCCATGGACATCCAGTTCTGTAGAGATATGTAAACAAGTAGAGAGCAGAGTGTGACCAGAAGGTAGGTTAGCTTCTAGAAGTCAAGTAGAACTCCAAGACCAATCTGATTCAGTAGGAGAATCGAAGTAGAGGAGAACAGTTTTGGTGGAGGGTTATGTCTGTAAGGAACAAAGAGTGTGGCATCTCTGATGAGAAAGAACACAGGCTGGCCTTAAAATGTGACCATCAGGAGGGACAGGAGCCTAGCAGAAATCAGCTGGAGGGAGGGAGTGTGTCTTGTTGGAGACTGGCTCCTCTGTTCTGTGAGGACCTGTCACCACCCCTTGCTACTGCTAGTTCCTTAAAGCTCAGAGAACTTTCTCAAGTTACTATTCACTCCTCCCAAGATTTCCTTGCTCTTTCCTCCTTGCTGTACCTTCACATTTACTCAGATTCTCCAGTTACCTCCTACTCAGTCCTAAATTTCTTCTGTGCTGACAATAATATACATTGTGTGTGGTACGAAGCACTTGATGAGCCTACTGTTTACAGAGAACAGTCAGTCACCCTCCCTTCCCAGCTCGTTAAACCTAAACCTAAGGACAGTCTCTAACCGAAGTCTTTGGTCTGTGCTAGAGCCTCAGAGAAGTTCAGATCCAGCTTCACACTTCACAGCTCTGGCACCAGAGCCAGGCCAACACCCCTCTTCCCCTGAACCTCTGCAGTAAAACCCTGATCCAACATTTCCAGATGGTGCCATTCTGCCTCAGGGCTCTGGCTGGACATGGGCTCCAAGAGCAGAGTTAAATGCAAGCTTTTGATTAAAGTGGTTACCCTGACTTCCCTTCTGTGCAACCGTTTGCAAGCCATTGGGTGGGGTCTGACGAGAACATGTGTGGCTGAAGCACTTGCTGTAGGAAGATGATTGTCAAGCCGAACCTTGGAAACGATTTCTGGAAGCTGAGGGAATAAATTTCATGGAGATTTGCCTTCCTCAACTAGTGACTGTAGCACTATGCCATTGAAAAACCATTGAGGGAGGGAAGTTGGCAAAGAAGAGATTTAAAACAGGTCTTTAAGAGTAGTGTAAAACTGAAGAGTCGCACATCATACGCTGGTAAAAGCAGAAGGTCTAGGTCTGCTGTGCAGGTGTCACTAGTAATTATTTCCAGTAACTTATTGAGAAACACTTTAGATGTTTTGACTACAAAGTGTAAAGAGCTCTGCCAAAAAAACTCCAGCATTGAAGAGGAGGAGGGAGAGGCAGGAAAAAAGAGAGACAGTAGAAATAGGAGAAAACACACAGTGCATTTACATTCTAGTGAAGCGTTGCAGTTTTAACAATTTTGGAGCTTGCCAGGACTGATGACCTTTATGGGCTGCCTTGAATTCACTGAAGCCAAAGAGTACCATGCCTTCAGCAAGTAGCAAGCCAAGTTATAAAAACATGGCTTAAATTTGATAGTTATCCTCACATTTGCAGCTGGATGTGGAAGTGGATGGTGCTTGGTGCTCTGCTCTGGAGTAGCTCATATCTGAAATCTTGGCTCTAAAGTAGCTGAGACCCCTTGTTTATGTTTCTCATTGGTGAAGCTGACCATTCCTAGCATCCTGGTGGATGGGGTCTGGATGGTCCGAGAGAATCCACCCCACGCCATTGTAGGATCAGCCTTTCCTAAACCAACAGGACTGAGGTGACTCTTGCCCCCTCTCCAGAGCCTGCAGCTCTACCCACCATCTCTTCACCAGTACGTCACAGGCTACCTGAACAGAATTGCTCAGTGCTGAAATGCCAACCCATGCCAAAGAATGGCTAAGCTGGAGGATCAACCCTGGAATTTCCTTAAGCGTACTGTAAGTGAAGACAAAAGTCTTTGTCTCAAAATACAAGCTTGTTTTTTCTCCCAGCTCTACCTGAGAACAAATTCTAGTGCATCTTTTCAAACAGCCAACTGAGACAGAAGTGGAAAAACCCTGAGATCCCATTAGTCAGGCAGCTTGCTTACCCAAGTGACTTAGGGCCTCTTTATCCCATGGCCAAGTGGCAGCGCCAGCCAGCTCTTCCCTCACAGAGCTGGCAAAATAAACGTTGAGGAAGTGGGTGCTGTTCAGCTGCAGTGCCTCCTTCAGCTCCTTCACACTAATGTATGCCCTGCAAGGACAAGGGAGAGCAGACAGTCAGCAAACACATCAATGCAGCAAAGAGGACAAGTGAGAGCAGCCCACGGTTGAGCTGGAAGGGGTTAGTGTTGAGGTTGGGTGGGATGCAGTCATGCAAATCCAAAGAATTGTTGCCAACGTTTTTAATCTGTTTGTAGGATTTCACAACCACGGTTCTACCCATTTCCTCCAGGCAACAAGTATGGTGGGTGGTGAAGAATGGGGAATCCCTGCAGAACGCAGGTATGTAGTGTATCAGAGGGTGTGCAGCCTCACCCCCATGCCTGCATGTTGCACAAGGAAGCAGAGTATGAACAACATTTTGCTCCAAGACATCTTTCTTCCAGCTCTGCTCAAAATGGAGTGTGGCCTGGCCTTGGAGAAATTATCTCTGAGTAGGTTGGGCTGGGATGGCTGCAGAAGAAGTTCTGGAGCTCTGAAATAAGGGAGAGAGAAGCAAGTTTGGAAACTGCTCCACCAAAGGGCATGTTTAGTGGGGAAACCTCATGGTCACACTGCTGCCTGTCTCTCCTCCAGTCTCCAAACTGTGACTAAACAGTTACTGGAATAAAAAAAGAAATACCTGGAATGGGGATATCCAAGATATCCATTTCTGAAGGGCACAAGAAGGTGATGAACTGGGAGAGGTGAGAAACATTGCACTCGTCCTACAGTGAACAGCAGAGCAGCAGCACTCATGGGTGCTGGGTCATCTCTGAAATGATCCTTACTGCATCCATGGGGCTGGCATGTCTTAGTGCTTGGAAAAAGAATGGTAGTCAGGAAGTTTAGGTTTTGCTCTCCCATCTATGGGGTGTTTTTTGCATAGGTCAGATCTATTCTGCATTCACTGGTATACCAGCAGTGTTGATCTTTACAGAGTTCATGTCCTCAGCTTTGTAAAAGGATCAGGATTTAACTCAATAACAACAATTCCAATAAAAATAGTAGTGGGTTGTAGGGCCTTGGGCTCTGCTGCAAGTGCCAGGTGCTCTTTTAAATTAACTACTAGTGTTTCCACTATTGGTGCCATGAACCTCATGAGCTGAGGCAGCACTGGGACAGGTAGCCCTAGACTGTCTCTGAGTCTTCAAAATCTGAGGAGCCTGACCCCACAGTTCATGAAGCCAAGGGGAAGGCTGCGTTAACTTAAGAGATCCTAAGGGGAAAGAAAACACATGGAAAGGCTTCAAATACATCACTGTGGAATGATGATGGAAACGCACCATTGTGGAAATATGTCATAAGAATGACTAAATCCCCAGCATAAGGCCAACAGCAACATTAAGGTGGTGAAAAGCATTTCACTTATTCCCATGCTTCCAGGAGCAATTGGCATCCTCGAGCCCTGCAGAGGGATCACAAAGGGAATACAACCATTTCTTTACACTGGACCAGCCATGAAGGCTCACCGGCTGTGTTTGAACTAGCAGCTTCTGTAAAAGTGGTATCCATTAGAGCATTCCTCACCACGCTGAATTGTGGAAGAGAGAACTAAAAGTTAAATGTGGGCTAAGAGGAAAAAAGCATGTTATTGTCCAAGATGTGAAATGAGAAGGGAAGCTAGTGAGAAATGTGCAAATACACTGTTTGAAATGGCAAGATCCCTAGCGAAGTTATTATACCAACAGACTTGTTTAGAAAGAGAGAGGTTGCTACAGCAAATGGAAGAAAAGGAGGAGAAAGTGAATCAAAAATTTAAAGGAACAAGGCTTCAAAAGCACACCAGAGCAGGATGGCATGTGGGAAGTAGCACATCGAATCAAGTGTGACCATCTTGCTGAATCTGAAATAGCATAGGTTTTCAGAAGTCATTACTAACTTTGCGAATATCAAATAATTCGAGTCTGCTGACTACGTTCCCCATAATTCCATTCTGATAGGCCATCCTGTCCTGGATGTCTCAGCCACCTTCTCTATGACAAAGCAGTTCCAAAACATCAGCCACTGCAGAAAAATCTTGGCTGAAGCATAAGGCAGCACTTAATGGTGGGATGAGATGACCATCTCTTCTTCACCAGGCCCTGAGATCTCCCACCACAAAGCAGCATTCCCAGCATGTTTTCCCCAGGCACATAAGCTTGTGGAAAGAAAAACTCTCCCAACCGGAAACAGCAAATTAGGATAACATGATCTCTTATTTGTGATGTCTCGCCTGAGCATCCCAGACACGCGCCACGCTGACGCCATCTCTGCAACCCAACCAAGATGGGAGCAGGCTGGGAGGAATAGATAGAGAGAAGAATAAATAAACCTGAAGGACATATTTGTGGCATGACTCGGAAGGAAGAAAAGCAAAAATTTCATAGAAATAGAGTACAAGGAGGGGAGAAAAAGCCTCCCTTATGCACCAGAGCTGCTCGGGGGACACAGAATTAAAAATAATGTTGATTCCTGACCTATGATATCTTGGAAAAATAGCCCCAAACCCTTCCAGGCTGTCCAAATTCCGAGAGCTAACGTCAGCCCTGTTCAGAGGGATATTCCTGCTGCCTCTCTTCTGGAGACATCGTGTTTTTCTGGCTGTCGCCTGCCGTTCCCTTGACACTAACAACATTTTTTGGTCAACCCTTAATTATAAATAACTAATTTCCTCCATTGAAAGATTTGGATGGTTCAGAGTTGTGTTAAGGGTAGGGGGAGCAGTCCCAGCATGGAGATGCTCAGATGGATTGGATGGAAGAGGAGAGGAAGGGACTCCGCCCACCATGGCAAAGAAAGCATCGCATTCTGTGGCATCCCCAACAACATGAGCAAGACCAAAACGACCCTAGAATGGGCAACTCTGATTCCCCTCAAACCCTCTTTTCCATTGGCATTCCTAGCTGAGACAAGGAGCATGCAACTGGCGTCTTTGCCTGTCACTTACTGCCAAGGTCATGCTCTCCCTCCTTTTCAGCGCTTCTGTGATTTTCCCTGGGGATGGCAGAGAAGCTTTTGGTCTCCATGAAAGAACCAAATGACAGACTTCTCCTCTGCTCCCCGAATAGCTTCCCAGCTCCTTCAAGATTGGAGAATTCTGAACTAGATGATATTTACGTGCCGTGGGTGCTGCAAACTGACACACAAGCACAGGGAAAGCTAGAAGGATATGTGGGGGGGAAAAAAATAATGAGGAAAAAAAAATCACCCAAGAAATAACACCCTCTTTGCACAGAGAATAAAGGAGAAGACAGAAGAGAGGCATAAAATGTCTTCAGTTTTGCAGACATTTCTCCAGGAGCATAAATAAACTCGGTGAGCAGCTAGAGCCACTTGGGCCTGGGGAGTATGTGCACCCCTGGGAGAGTGCAGCTCTCAAGAAGAGTATATGCAACAGTGGATGGAGAGTAAGGTAGGAAAGATCATAACCTGCCATTGCCAGCATGGACGTGAACATCATTTGGAATGGTGATGTCTGAAGGACTAAGTCCAGATATGAGGGCTTCCATCATGCCAGTGCTCAGCAGCACTCACTTATGGCATTGCTAACCGAATGATGCTAGTGTAATCTGACTGCAAGGAAGGCTTAGGTACTGTGTGAACACTTGTAGAACTCAAGGCTGCTGGAGAAGCAGGATGGGGAAGCCTAGATCTTGCACTGTTCTACAGCAGTACAGTGGAGCAGCACTGATGCTTCTGTGGTCTTTGTAATTGGTCACGAGCACAGGACTGTGTATAGGACAGGATGTACTGTCACTGTGTGAAGTTTCATACAATCAGTGAAGGAGATGAAAACAGGAAGCCCAGCAGCTTCCATGACTGTCTCCAAAGAGTTGTGGATTCAGAGACCCGTAAGTGCAGCTGGAAGGGGCTTCCACAGGTCACGTAGTCTGACCTCTTAAGGTACAAAACATGTCTAATTACATGAAGTTGCTCAGGGCTATGCCCAGCTGAAAGCTGAACAGCTCAAAGGACAGAGATTTCATTACCTCTCTTGGAAATCTACTCCACTATTTAGTTGCTTTCATGGAAAAAAAAATCCTAACACCTAATCTAAATTCCTGATGCTCTAATGAAGGTTTGAAGACCCAAAGATTCCATTCTAAGCAGCTGAAAAAATCATACTTTGTTCCAAGCCTCCAAGGAAAGCCTTCACGTTCTTTCTTGTGTGCTTACTTGCACCATTTTTTCTTAATCCATGAGGGAGGCAAAATCTTTCTACTCATGGTTATAAGTCGAGGTCTGTGTTGACTTAGCCAATAGAGAAGACTTGGTGTTCTTCAGCAAGCAGCAATTTCTGGCAAAAATAACAGGAATGCTGCTGGTGCAGAGGTGGGAAAGAGCAAAAGGATTTGCTAATCTACTGGTTGGTAGAATGGGCAACCAAACTCTTAACTCAATCTGATTTTGTTTAAGTTGAGAGAAGAGAAGCAAGAGCAGCAAAAAGTCTTGGTGCCATAAAAATGGCCATTGGAATGACCAAGGAAAGGCAGAAAATGGCACTTCTGAATGAAAAGCAAGACCAACATGTACCATGCAGCACCATAAATCAAACTGAATTCTCTGGGTATTGAAGAGGATACAGTGTGTAATGCCACAGGAATTAAACTGCAATGCAAAAATAGAAGTCTTTTCCCTGTAGGCTTTTCAGAAGGGATGTGGGAGTGGGGTTGAATGGAAATTGTCCAAGTGCCCTCCATGGACAGCTGGAAAATACTTGAGACACAGCCAGCTCCAGGCTAACCATCCAGCCTAATGAAGTCACAGGGGATTCTGCTTTCATGTCTCTCATCCACCGCACCGAAATTCCTACTCCTGCCAAGCAGGGAGGATCCTTTCTTTCCCCAAACCTCTTCTTGACAAATGAGGAATCCCTCAGACTTCCCAGGAACATGAACCAGCCTGCCGGTAACTTGTGCTGACAGCATACTCCCCCAGGGCAGCAAAGGGTTAACACAAGGTGTTAAAGACAAAGAGCCGTGACTCAGCCGGTGAAGGCAGGTGTTGAGCCAAGTGGCATGAATGTAATCGGGGGCAGACTCTGCATTCTCCATCTCATTAGTGAAGAGA